ATTCTATCTCCCAGTGCTGAAGAGGAAGAATTTTATATTCTATCCGCAGCTGGAAAGGAAACTCGAGGTTGGATTTCCACCCCCAGAATCCGGCAGGATGAAACTAAGAGTGGGAAATGGGAGAGGAAGAATTTTATATTCTATCTCCCAGTGCTGAAGAGGAAGAATTTTATATTCTATCTGCAGCTGGAAAGGAAACTCGAGGTGGGATCTCCACCCCCAGAATCCGGAAGGATGAAACTAAGAGTGGGATCTCCACTCTGAGAATCGGAAAGGTTCGAACGACCCTAACTTTTATAGGATTGGTCATTTGAACCCAAAGAATCCCTCATTCATTGAGGAGAAAACCCAATTTCGACCCTAACTTTTATAGGTTTGGTGGAAAAGGGAACAAAGGCGGATTTTCGTTTATCGAAAAGGAATGACTCGGTCTTAGTCTTAACTATTCGTAGGCTTGACTAAGCGAGATCGGGAACAATCCTAACTTTTATAGGTTTGACTGTTCAAATTGGAAGTGGACCTCTCGTTCATGGAAGGAATCGAGAGAGGAATTTGGCGTTGGCCCTAACTTTTATAGGTTTGACCTGAAAGCAAAGAAAGTAGAATACAGGTAGCAAAGAAAGTGCCAACTCGTATTATCACTCAAAGGAGGACTTTAATGCTAGGTGATTAGGACCTAGGAAGGAATCGAGAGGGGACTTTAGTTTTGGCCCTAACTATAAGAAGGTTTGACCAGGTAGACAGTGAGAGTAGGAGTACAAATCACATCGAGAGTGTTGACTCATACAAATCACAGTGGGGTTTAGTGTTTATCACTTTGTTTGTAATGATCGGGTTATCCCTAAGAGAATTACATATAGTATTTTTCCGGGAACTTCCCGTTACATGAATCATCCACCCCCAGTTTCTTCGCGAAACTGGGTTTATCATTGCATTCGGTTACATGATCGGGTTATCCTTAAGAATATTACATATAAAAATTCTCCAGGAACTTCCCGTCAACGGTAGGAAACAGTTTAGACTCATATACCTATTGGAGTATCAAGAAGCAGTTTAACCTCTTATACTGATCAGAGGATTGAGAAACAGTTTATACTCGTATACTCTTCGGAGTATTACCGTTCTTATTTGGCTTATCCTAGTGTTATGACGCCGGCTTCAACCAAGGTTTGGATGCGTTATCCTTAAGAATATTAGCGTAATATCCTCCAGGAACTTCCCGTCAACAGTGGGAAACAGTTTAGACTCATATACCTATTGGAGTATGTAGGGAGCAGTTTAACCTCATGCACCTGTTGGGGGATTGAGAAGCAGTTTATACTCGTATACACTTCAGAGTCTTGAGAAGCAGTTTATACTCGTATACTCTTCGGAGTCCGACTGAGGATCCTCCTGTGGTACGCGCAGTACTTTGGATCCGTAGTATTTTCAGCTTCCTCCTGATTCGTGATGGGCGGGAGCTTGATTTTGTTGTTTTCGAGAAGAGACTCGAAGATGGCGGGAACGTCTTCGTCCTTGAACGAGTACTCTTTCTGGGCCTTTTGATCCGAAGTCTTCTGCTGTCTTCGGAGCTGTTGTTGTGATGTTTGATTAACGTCAATAACTGTTGTAGGCGCCATCCCTTCATTATGGGAAACGAGACCCGGATTCAGAGGGTTAGTCATCGGTTGGTTTCTTTCGACCTTCCTCCTTCTGAGGAAGCGTTCGGCCTGTTCTCCGCGCACCTTCAACTCTCTCCAGGTATTGAGCGGCTCTACTCCCATAACATCCAAGATGTTAATGGACAAATTATTATGACAGGTCTGCAAGACGAACTCCTCCGTGACGGGATCCTTGCAGTTCATTGCCTGATTGCGGAAGCGTTTGATGAAGGTATCCACCGACTCTCCGTCTTTTTGTTTCTCATCGAAGAGTGTCCTGATCGACACCTCGGTGTCCTCATCGAAGAATTGAGCGAGGAACATGCTCTCCAGGTCCTCCCAGCTGTTGATGCTTCCAAATTTAAGACGCCGATACCAATCGAAGGCAGGCCCGCGAAGGGTGCCGACGAATGACCGAACCATCAAGGCTTCATTGCCGGAGATCGTGCCCAAGTGGGACTTGAAGTAGATTAGATGCTGAGGGGGCGAGCCCTTCCCGCCGAACGGCGTGAAGTTGATCAGGTTGAACTTCGCTGGATACGGGATCGAGTCCCACTCTTTCGGGTAAGGACACAGAATGCCGGTCTTCTTTACCTCTACGGCTGAAGAGGGAAACCAAAGCACAAATTGCCTCCACGTCGTTTTTTTTTCTCTCCCCCATTTCCTCCCCCAACGGAGTGAAATCGATGAAAACTCTGGCCACGTTGGATTTTTTTCTTCCTCGTTGATTTCTTCGGTGAGCTAGAGTTACCTCCTTCGCATCGCCCCCGCCAGAAACTCCCGCGGTCTTCTCTGTCCTTGTGTTCGAAGAAATTGGGGGAAGGGGGTCTGATTCTTTGTCCATGTATTCGAAGAAATGGTGATCTCTCTCCTTCTCGCTTCTCTCTTTACATCTTTGATCCTCTCGTGATCTGCCGCCGATGAGAAATTCGACGTCCTCCAACATCTCGCCACAATCACCAGGTTCTCTCTCTCTCTTTCGGTTGATTTTCGTTAGGGTTTTAATTTCTTCGGACGCGATGACCAGTTGTATGCATTTTTATCGATTTGAGATGAATTATGTAACGAGCTAATCTTTTCTCGTGCCCTAATTGGGTATTTTCGAGGTTATTTTGATGATTAATGAGTGACAATTGCCTGCTTGAAACCGAGCTTTTGATCTTCGAGAGGAGCAAATATACATAGAATTTAAGTGCATTGTAGATTGACGTCATTAATTTTTTTTTTGTCAGAATAAGGATGATTTTGGTGTCACGAGCTAATTCTACCCTAAATTTAGAATCATGTGTAATTTGTTCGGAAATGGCAATTCAACCATTGGAGCTGAAATGTAGTGTTATCAAGTTATTGGCACAGAATAAGGAAGGCTTGGGCTTTGTTGGAATATTAAGTTATAACCCTCAACTTTTCACCACAACTTATGGAAAAGAAAAGATACCACGATGCAAAATATGACAGGTTTTGGCCCGAAAAGGGCAATCAACTTGTGGGTACAAATTAGAATGTTCCCTCAACCCTTGCTACAACTATGGAGGTTTTTAGTTGTTGTGGAAGGGTCATTTAGATTACTCCACTCTACCTAAGCTATCCAAAAAAGAGTGATTGAAATTTATCTTTATTCACCAAGCATCCAAATTGACTTTGGGTAAGATGTGGGTTTTCTCTAATGAAACTATTTATCTTACATCCAAATTTATCTTTATTCACCAAGCATCCAAATTGACTTTGGGTACGATTTTGTTTGCGCATACTTGTTTTTATCGTCGGTGAGATGTTGCTTCCCTTATGCGAATACAATGAACCATTACACACCTGCACGCGTCTACACCCATTTCGCTTTGCTACATATACTTTATGCATACACAAGTCCACTAGCACTAGTAAATATATCTTTTAATTTCCCACAATTTTTTTCATGCAGGTTTGGTTTGCTTTAACAGTTGTCAAAGCATGAAAAAGATTGGCCAAACATGATTTATTAGGCTGAGTCAATGAGGCGTTGTGTGTATAGTTATAGAGCGTGGTTATATGATTCTCATTTATTGATGTAAGATTTTTTAGGACAGGAAATGCTTCACCCTTATTTACTTGTTCTTGTAGATTTACCTGTGGATCTTTATTTCTGCTTATGCTTATATATGCAGAAACATGTATAAACATACTCATGTGTCTATATAGTGCACACTCACACACATCCTTGGAGTGACTAAAATTCTTTTGCACTCTCTCTTGCAGTAAATATATTAGAGATCACATACACCTCAGGAAGTTGTATCATGTTAATGGAACAACTAAGGTAATGCACTCAGTGTATGCTTCTAATTACTAAATAAAAAAAGACGTTAGCATTGAGATGGAATAAGAAAGTTCTTATGAAGGATCATGAGAATGAACCCATGTCTAATTGATGAGATGTTGACCATTGTTTAAGTCTAAGTTTTAAGTTTCAGGCAAACACAGTAAAGTCTTCCTTCGACTAATCTCATCCTAGAAGTGTCGGAAAGTGAAGAGCTCCCTTGTTAGTGTTTATTCATGGTGAGGAATTTCAGAAGTATTTCCACTACTAAACCTGTTAGCAGGACCTTTATTTTAATACCTTTTACTTATAAGCATCTCCAGGCACTACTCGTAATCAAGTGATATACATGGTTACATGAGTTATTTAATGATCATTACTCGCATTACTTTCCTTGAGCTATTTTTGTATCCTGTATGTTATTTTTCCCTCTTTCTTTTACAAAATCTATTGCTGATAAAATAGATTATCAAGTTTGGCTTCATTTTATTCTCATATCTATCTAGTTATAACTGAAGAACTTTCCACCATTTCATATAATAATTCTGTTATATGCGTGCTAAAATAAAATGAACATGATAATGCTGATTTTGAATGCCATCAGATTTAACCAACCTGTCAAGGTTCTGATTGTTCTGTGTTTTCATAGGCGAGACATGGGACCCGTTCGCCTACAACAAAACGTATTAAAGAGTTGGATAGGTTGGCAGCTCGTTTGGATGTTCTTTTGAATGATGCAAAAGATGAGGCAGGCCAGAACAGCTCCTCTTTGAATACACCAGCATGGTTATGGGGATGGAGATCCCCTTGGGAAGGAAAACAGAAAGGGGGAGAGCTAATTAACAAAGGGGAAGAGGAGCTGTATCTTCTAGGAAAAAGAATAAAGGAAAAGTTTGCAGCATTGTTTGATGAGGAGTATCACCCAGATGTCTTCTCAATTAGGGCAACACAGGTAAGTTATCTTACTCATCAATTTCTTCTAGTAATATTTTGGCAAGTCCTAGATCAGAAAATTTCAGTCGTCAATCTGTAATTTCAATTAGTTATCTCATACATCTGTTTGGCTTGGAATCTGTTAGTGTTACTGCATAGTTGCTGGTTTAAAGGTTGGCATATATGGTTTCATTTTCATTCAAAGTTCAAATATACAGAACCTCTCTTGCCAGTAGATTTTCAGACACAAAATTGCATTTAGGATATAGATGTCTGAGTCACAACCATCATACAACTTGTCTGTCTTCTTCATGTTACTTTGTTAACATATTTGTTCTCATCTAACCTTGGGTAGAGGAGAGGGAGGCATAGTGTCAAAAAATAACTATCAGGGGAGAATATATGTTATCAAGATAAACCTAGGGCGGGATAAATACAATTACACCAAATATTAAGAGCACACCAAAGTATCTCAGTTTTTAGGAGTATTAGCGGAGATCTCAGGCAGGATAAATACAATTTACGCCAAATATTAAGAGTTTACCAAAGCATCTTATTTTTTTAGGAGTATCAGAGAATCACATAGCATTCTACTTTTCCCATGGTACATTGTTGGTGGTGGTTATAACATCCAAATGTTCTTTTTTTTTTGTGCTGTGTGATGCAGGTTCCTCGAGCATCAGCTAGTGCTGTTGCATTTGGCATTGGACTATTTGCTGGGAAAGGAAACCTTGGACCAGGCGGGCATCGTGCCTTCTCTGTGATAAGTGAGAGTCGTGCAAGTGATATGTGCTTACGGTTCTATGATTCTTGTCAGACTTATAAAGTAAGGAATTTTTTTTATATAATGATTAATTTATTCCAAACGCTATCATTATTTGGTTAATAATGCTTTACATACATGTGCTTTTGTTTTTGCAGTAATATCTTACATTATTTACTCAACTGGAGAGTTATTTTTTTTCAGTAAAGTTGTCTTATCACTTTGAGTTGGAGGGTCTAGATGTTCTAATTACACATGAATCAAATGACAAAATAATTGGAAGGATATTACTTTATGTGATTATTGATGCCTCTCTGTCTACATCAGTTGAATAGATTCACAGGAATACAGGAAGATCTTGAAGCTAACGTGAAGCTTACTGGGCATATGACAACTTGTGCTTTCAATTATTACAATACATGAAGTGGATGCTAACACAATTTCTTAGTGGGACAATTGGGAAGAGTAATGGTCAGAACCAACTACTAAAACTTGATTATCTGTCTTCTAGATCACTAATGTCTCTCAATAAAAAGTGCTAGAAATGCTGTAATTCTGACATAGTTTCTACATATGTATAGATTCAATGTAATAAAGGCATGGTGTTTATGTTAAATGATAACCTACATTATTTTTATAGTGATGAAAATACTGTTTATATATATTATTCTTGTTCGTTTCACTTTTAAAAAGAATTGTTGGGCTTTTTCATGTATGTGCAGATAAAAATCAAATAAGTGGGTCAAAACTTGCTGTTTATGTTTACGAAGAGGCTGCTTTACATGAAAAGTAAACGAGTCCTTGAATAACATGCCATAGACATGCAGAATGTGCCAGTCAATTTTCAACTTTAGTTCTATTAATTGAATTGCCACTTACGGTTGTGACACAAAACGTTTCCAAGCCTTTGACCATATATTTATAGGTTGTGTGCGGCTAGGAACTAAGATGATCTATTTCATGCCACAGAGATATAAAGAAAACCAGGAGCCAGCTGTTGATAAGATTAAGGAACCCATTCTGCGTATCATTGCTGCTGAGGTCGGTAGACGCTACCAGCTAGGTTTCACTAAGCAGGATGTTGCTTCTTTATGGTTTCTCTGCAAACAGGTATAAGAAATCGTTGAACTATAGGAGTTCTGCTATCTCCAGCTTTATGATAAACATATTCTTCTTTGTTTCACCTGATTGATTGATTGATCTTTTCATATTTTAGGAAGCATCTTTGTTGGATATCACCAATCAAGCTTGTGGCCTTTTCAACGCTACGGAGGTATACAAATTTTTATGTTATGCAACTGGAGTAGTTCGTCTCTTTAACCATTTATATTACACTGTGACTTACTCCCATTAGGATTTTTTTTATAAATTTATTATTTCCTTAAGTTTCTTTACCTTGGCTAGGTTTCTTTACTTGAATGGACAGATGATTTGGAGGGTTTTCTGTTAAATGGTTATGGTAACTCGGTTAACTATCGCATGGGGATACCACTCCTCCAGGATGTAATTCAGTCAATAGAGCAAGCAATTATTGCTAAAGAAGGTACTTTGAAGCTTTTTGCTGTTAACATATGTTATTAACTTTTCACAGAGGAAATACATACAAGGAACTATGTGTTATTTCCCCAAATCTTTCATACTTTCATCTTATCTTGATATGGTAGGTGGTCACGTAGCATATAGTTACTTCAGGTTTTTGTAATGCATACCATTATTAAGAAGTTAGCAGTGGAAGGCTGATACTGGTAGTAGACTATGTAGCACGGACACGGATCCGACACGGCCATCCGACACGTTGACACGAGGCAAATCCTAAAAAATACATAGGACACGTGTGTCCGACACGGACACGACACGACACGGCTTCATGTTATGCTTGTCCGTGCTTCATAGGTAGTAGATGCATGATTTATAAAATCTAAGCTCCTCTTTGATGTTAAACAAACTTGAATCTATCGTTAGGACTGGAGCAGACAGTTGGGTATTTTACGCCGAAACCCCTAAAACAGCAGAAACGCAGTATAGAGAAGATACACCAAGATTTAACGAAGTTCGGCAATTGCCTACGTCCTCGGGAGCCATACAGGAAATTTCTTATTAACTAACAAGAAATTACAAAGCAAGAGCAGATCTCAAACTTGAGATCTCTCAATAAATACAAATTAATACTATAACTATAGTATTAATCTCTCTCTCTCTCAAATACCCCTATTTAATTATCTCTTAAATAGAGAATATTCTCCCATAATAAATTCCCCTCAACAATCTGAGAGCTGGGAAAAATCACGAGAGGAGAAGAAGAAAAAACGCCGCTGCGTTTTTTAGTCCGCCGCCAAAAAATGGGGAGTAGCCATCGAGGGGAGGAGCTCTGGGTTTCCCTTTTATAGGAAAACCCTAGGGCCAGCTAGCGACAGGCTGTTGCTGGCCCATCCCTCCGAACTCGCCTGCGTGGGTCGCACCCCCGCTCGCCTACAACTCGCGAGCTCGCCTGCTCAAGTTCCGCCTGACAGAAAGCTTGCCTGCTTCTGGACTTCGAGCTCGCCTGCGATGGACACGCCTGCAGACCTTCGAGCTCGCGTTTGGATCTCGCCTGCAAGGGGTTCTCGAGCTCGCCTCTGATCCGCTTCGAGCTCGCCACGAGCTCGTCTGCACACACCCGTCACGAGATCAATCTCGCCTGCAACTCTTCGTCGAGACCTTGCTTGGATCTCGAGCTCCGCCTGCAGCCGCTGACCTCGCCTGAGCTTCATCCTCGTCTGGAGAAGATCGTCTGCAGGTTTGGGCTTCACCCCCAATTCTAACAATCTCCCACTTGGAGACCAAACCATCGACAGCAGACTACCTCATCAAGCACCTCCTCCTGTGTGGCTCCGTCCTCATCACCTATGCATAAAGGCCAACTGAAGTTGCGCACAACTCCGGTTTCTGAAAGATCACCGTCTTTGTCAATAGATCCGCTGGATTCTTTCTTCCTTGGATCTTCTGTTGAAATCCTTCGACAACTTGTCGGGCTCTGTATCTTCTGGAACCACCCTGTTCCTTTTTGACTCGATACACCCACTTGTTGTGATGTGCCTCCTTCCCCATAGACAACTCAGCTAATTCCTCATGTCTGGTTGGAGATCAGAGATTTCATCTCTTCTTTCGCAGCAAACTCCCACTTGATTGCATCTCCATTCTGACAAGCTTCATCAAAGCTTTCAGACTCCCCTCTATTTATCAGCAACATATAATTCATGTATCTGCTGTTAGGCACAGGAGGACGAGTAGTTCTCCTCAATATCGGAGCTGGTGCGTCGGGCTTCTGCGCACCGTTCTGTCCAACAGGCTCTTCTAGCTGAGGACCTTCTGCATTGGGTTCTTCTGAGAAGTTATCTGGGACATCATCTGCATCTATAAATGTTAACTCATTCTCTGAGTCACTAGCATCTGTCTTGTGCATGTCCTTGTACATCACCTTCTCGTTGAATATCACATCTCTGCTCTTGATCACCTTCTTGTTTTTGTTGTCCCAAATACGATAGCCGAACTCATCTTCATCATACCCTATGAATGTGCATTTCTTGGACTTAGGATCAGGCTCATTCCTGCCTTGATCGCTAATATGCACATAAGCTACACAACCGAAAACTTTGAGATGTGAGAGGGTTACCTCCTTTCCGCACCATACCTCCTCTCGTATTCTGAGCTCCAATAGAACTGATGAACCTCGGTTGATCAAGTAAGCTGCTGTGTTGACTGCTTCTGCCCAGAACTGCTTCGGTAGACCTGACTGTATCCGAATGCTTCTGGCTCTCTCTGTCAACGTTCTATTCATCCGCTCAGCTACACCATTTTGCTGAGGCGTGTCGGGCACGATTCTTTCCATTTTGATCCCGTGCTCATAGCAGAATTTTTTGAATCTGGTGTCTTCATACTCACCACTATTGTCTGTTCTGAGTTTTCTTATTTTCAGATCGGTCTCATTCTCGACCATAGCTTTTCATCACCTGAAAGCTTTAAACACTTCTGACTTATTCTTCAGAAAGTAGACACACACTTTCTGAGAGTGATCATCGATAAAAGTCACAAAGTAGTGTTTTTCACCAATAGACGTGGTGGTGGTTGATCCCCAAACATCTGAGTGAACGAGCTCTAGCTTCTGCTTCCTAGGGGTTCTGCCACTTGTCTGAAAGCTAACTCTATTCTGCTTTCTAAGTATGTATTCTTCACACATATCAATCTTTACTGATTGTAAACCTGGGAGTTTTCTCTTTGTGTGCATAATCTTCATCCCCTTTTTACTCATATGACCGAGTCTCTGGTGCTACAGATTTGAAGTCCCATTACCTGCTGCAACTGAGATCAAACAACGTGCACCTGCTGTCATATACAGGGTATCAGTCTTCATGCCTCTGGCAATCGTCATTGCGCTTTTTGAAATTCTTCAATCATCACCATGAAAAGTCGTCTTCACTAGCCAATTGGCTTACTGAGATTAAGTTTCTTTTTAGATCGGGAATATACTTGACATCCTTCAGCTCCCATACTGACTCATTCAGCTTAATATTCACTACACATTTGCCAATAATGACACATGGTTGATCATCACTAAGGTATACATTTTCAAGGTTTCCGGGGATATACTTCTCGAGGAATTCTTTCTGAGAAGTAGCATGAAATGATGCTCCAGAGTCCAACATCCAAGACGACTCCTTGCTCTCCAAAGAGCATGTCAATGCATCATCTCCTCCTGAGGTGGAAGCAATATTTGCATCTGCTTTTGCCTCCCACTCCCTTTGTGCACTCTTGCACTGATTCTTATAGTGCCCGGTTTTTTCACACTTCCAACACTCGATAGCCTTCGAGCTGCTGAGATTCCTGGATCTGGATCTCCTGTCATCTTGTCATCTGACCTATTTTTTCTGATTAAATTTCTACCTCTTGACTCTGTATGCAAGACTGAAGAGGTTGTAGCTTCACCCAACTCTCTTCGTCGGATCTCCTCACTGAAAACCAGATCACGAACGTCGTCAAACTTTAACTTTTTGCTTCCTGACGAGCTACTCACAACTGTGACTGTAGCATTCCAACTCTCTGGTAGGAAAGACAAAAGGATCAACGCTCGAACTTTCTTATCAAACTCAATATCAACTGAACTTCATTGGGTCGTGATTGTATTGAGTTCATTGAGATGATGTGCTACCGAAGCACCTTCCGCCATTCGCAGATTGAACAACCGCCTCATCAAATGGACTTTATTTGAGGCTGATGGCTTCTCATACATATTTGAGAGTGCTGCTATAAGACCCGTCGTGGTCTTCTCCTTCGCTATGTTGAACGTAACATTGCGAGTTAATGTCAATCTGATAACTCCGAGGGCTTTTCTGTCCAAAAGATTCCAATATTCTTCATTCATACCCTCCGACTTCTTCCCCGAGAGAGGTTGATATAGATTTTTCTGATACAGATAATCCTCTATCTGTATTTTTCAGAATCCGAAATCTGATCCATCAAACTTCTCAAGTTTTACTTTTTCTTCATCTGCGGTCATCGCTCCTACTTGAATCTGACTTCCTCTAGATCGTTTCACGCTATGATACTAATTGTTAGGAATTTTACGCCGAAACCCCTAAAACAGCAGAAACGTAGTATAGAGAAGATGCACCAAGATTTAACGAGGTATGACAATTGCCTACGTCCTCGGGAGCCATACAGTAAATTTTTTATTAACCAACAAGAAATTACAAAGCAAGAACAGATCTCAAACTTGAGATCTCTCAATAAATACAAATTAATACTATAGCTATAATATTACTCTCTCTTTCTCTCAAATACCCCTATTTAATTATCTCTTAAATAGAGAATATTGCCCCACAATAAATTCTCCTCAATAATCTGAGAGCTTGGAAAAACCACGAGAGGAGAAGAAGAAAAAACACCGCTGCGTTTTTGAGTCCGCCGCCGAAAAATGGGGAGTAGCCATCGAGGGGAGGAGCTTTGGGTTTCCCTTTTTTAGGGAAACCCTAGGGCCAGCTAGCGACAGGCTGTCGCTGGCCCATCCCTCCGAACTCGCCTGCGTGGGTCGCACCCCCGCTCGCCTACAACTCGCGAGCTCGCCTGCTCAAGTTCCGCCTGACAGAAAGCTTGCCTGCTTCTGGACTTCGAGCTCGCCTGCGATGGACACGCCTGCAGACCTTCGAGCTCGCGTTTGGATCTCGCCTGCAAGGGGTTCTCGAGCTCGCCTCTGATCCGCTTCGAGCTCGCCACGAGCTCGTCTGCACACACCCTGCACACACCCGCCACGAGATCAATCTCGCCTACAACTCTTCGTCGAGACCTCGCCTGGATCTCAAGCTCCCCCTGCAGCCGCTGACCTCGCCTGAGCTTCATCCTTGCCTGGAGAAGCTCGCCTGCAGGTTTGGGCTTCACCCCCAATTCTAACACAGTCTGCATATTTTGCCAATTACAATTTATGATCACAACCTTGTCTAAATCTGCCATGAAAAGTTCCTACTTTACAATAACCTGTCGTGCACTCGTGCGCTCGTGCACACAATGCGTCTGTGTGTGTGTTTTTGTTTTGGTTTGTTTTGTTTTGTTTGCTTTCTTTTTCTGGATAGCACTTAGTTGTCTCATGTTTGGAATCTTATGTGCTTATTAGAAAATAAAATTGAAAGGTCGTCCTATCTTTCTTTCTCTTATACCTTCAGAAAAAGCTTTCTGTTTGAAAGTTTGACGCATAAGTTACTAAATTTCTCATCATAGGTGATGCGGGACGATGAGAATTTTAGGGTTTTATGTAAGGGATTTGGGAAATTTAGGGAAGAACAAAGATTTGGGGGAAAGCTAGGGTTTGAAAAATTAACAAGATATGACCACGAATCGCAACCCGGGCCTTGGCTTCACCACCATTGACTCAATCTTAGAGATCAAATCAATTACCCAAAGTTTCACAAATGAAACAAATACTAAAATTATTGAGCAAATACAATAAAAGAGGAAATAAAAAAACACTAGCTAAACTCCAAGCCTTCTCAAGATCAAAGCCACATATGAGTTGAGGCAACACGACGACGGTGACGAAAATATGTGCGAAGTGGAGGCTGTGCGATGTCCTCATCAATTCCCCCGGGGTGGGAAGAACTCGACCCTGTCGAGTAAGGCCCCAACTGGCCCTCATAATACTCCAATAGATCTGGAGCCAGGCGCTGCAGGTCCTCACGAGTAATCCATGTATCATCAGATTCAGGACGATCTTTCCAACGTACTAGATATCGTCTGCAACCACCATCTCGGGTTGAGATGATTTGATCATCCCGAATGCTATCAATCTGTTCAGCTGTAAATGGGACAAAAGTAGTAGGCAGTGGTGACAATGGGGGTCCCTCAAGGAAAGGATCAGGGGTAGGCTCATCAAGATCCACAAGTGGATTTTCAGGGTTAAAAGGAGGACCTTTATAAGCTACCAAATCTGCAATATTAAATGTCGAACTAATTCCAAAATCTGGAGGTAAATCGATTACATAAGCATTTGAGTTAATTTTCTTGATAATCTTAAAAGGTCCAGCACTACGAGAATGTAATTTCTTGACGGCTCCAGGAGGAAACCGTTCTGGGCGAATCCGGATCATTACATAATCACCTTCGTTAAATTCAAGATGTTTTCTATGTAAATCAACATGAGACTTATATTGTTCATTGCTTTCTTGAATTTTCTTGTTGATTTCTTGATGCAAATCATGAATGTGTTGAATTTTCTTGTTGATTTCTTGATGCAAATCATGAATGTGTGATGCAAATGCAACTGCTGACTCGGACACCCTAGGATGATGCGACATGGGAATAAGGTCTATAGGCTTCCTAGGCTTGTAACCATGCACAACTTCAAATGGACTCATGCCTACAGACCTATTGACTAAGCTATTGTATGCAAACTCTGCAGTGGGTAACAGAAGATCCCAATTTCTTAAATTCTCACCAACCAAACAGCGCAAAAGATTGCCTAGACTCCTATTAACTACCTCAGTTTGACCATCAGTTTGGGGATGAAAAGCAGACGAATACTGAAGTTTAGTTCCCATCTTGTGCCATAGAGTTTTCCAAAAATAACTCATAAACTTCACATCCCTGTCAGATACAATGGTTTTGGGCAAACCATGCAGTTTGACCACACCATCAAAGTAAATCCGAGCAATTTTGGAAGCATCAGACGTTTTGTTGCACGACAAGAAGTGGGCCATCTTTGAAAAGCGATCCACAACTACAAAAATGGAGTCATGTTTTCTGATAGTTTTAGGAAGTCCCAACACGAAATCCATATTCACATCCTGCCAAGGACGATCTGAAACCGGGAGAGGTGTGTACAGGCCAGTATTTTGTTTACGTTGCTTAGCTAATTGGCGAGTGCGACATTGTCCTATTAACTTTGTAACATCTCTTTTAAGGCTTGGCCAGTAAAACAAAGTTTCTACCGCCTCTATAGTCTTTTCACGACCAAAATGACCAGCAAGGCCTCCCGCATGCAATTCCCAAACAAGATAATCTCTCAAAGAAGTACGCGGAATACATAACTTGCGAAATCGAAATAAATAGCCATCTTGGAACAAAAAGTCATCTATCTCGAAAGTCACTCCTTTTAAAGAAACAAAAATCTCTCCAAAGTCGGGGCATGATTCATACTCCCCTTTGATTATTTCGAAACCCACTACCTCCGCACTCATTCGGTTTAGAAGACAAGCTCGACGACTGAGTGCATCAGCCACCTTGTTCTCAACTCCAGCCATGTGTTTGAGGGTATAAGTGTAGTCTTGTAGAAATTCAACCCATCGAGCACGCCTGACATTGAGTATTTTTTGAGAGTTAAGATACCGAAGGGCTTCATGGTCCGAATAAATAACAAATTCTTGTGGTAAAAGATAATGTCGCCAATGGCGTAATGATTGTACAACCGCATAGAACTCCTTATCGTAGGTAGAGTAGTTCACCTTAGCACCACTAAGTTTTTCACTAAAGTAGGCAATGGGGTGCTTCTCCTGGCTCAATACTCCACCTATACCAATGCCCGAGGCGTCACACGCGACCTCAAATACCTTAGAGAAATCAGGAAGTCTCATAACAGGTGCATCGGTCATTCGCTGCTTAATTTCTTTGAAAGCCGTGGCAGCTTCTTCGGACCAATGAAATTCCTCTTTTTTCAGGCAATCCGTAATTGGGGCCATGATAGCACTAAACTCCTTGATAAATCGTCTGTAGAAAGTTACGAGCCCATGAAAACTTCTTACATCTCGGATACTCCGGGGCTCGGGCCACTCTACAATTGCCTGAACCTTTTGAGGGTCAGCAGAAACCCCTTGAGAAGACACAACAAATCCCAAAAATATAACTTGGTCAGTCATGAAAACACATTTCTTGGGATTAGCAAATAACTTCTCTTTCCTCAAAGTGAGACAGACTTGACTAAGATGGTCAATATGATGCTCTAACGATTTACTATAAATTAAGATATCATCAAAGTAAACGACCAAAAATTTACCCATAAAAGGTCGTAGTACCTGAGTCATAACTCGCATGAAGGTGCTGGGAGCATTTGTCAACCCAAAAGGCATGACCATCCACTCGTATAGACCATCTTTCGTCTTAAAAGCTGTCTTCCACTCATCCCCTGGACGAATCCTAATTTGATGGTAGCCACTCTTTAAATCAATTATGGAAAATATGGTGGTTCCAGACATCATATCTAACATATCATCTAGCCTGGGAATAGGAAACCGATATTTCACGGTGATCTTATTGATTGCTCGACTATTAACACACATTCTCCATGAACCATCTTTCTTAGGGGTTAGTAATGCCGGCACAGCGCACGGGCTCAAACTCTCTTTAATGAACCCCTTAGTCAACAGTTCTTCAACCTGCCTCTTGAGTTCAGCATGTTCGGTTGGATTCATTCTGTAATGAGGCAAGTTGGGAAGATTAGATCCTGGAACAAAATCTATAGCGTGTTGGATGTCACGCATCGGGGGTAGAGCGTTTGGGAGTTCTTCCGGGAAAACATCTGTAAATTCCTTTAATATTGGAGTTACTGCAGAAGGAATTTGCTCTTGGGAGTTTTCGGTAATCTCCCTAGCAACAAGGACAACAACGGTAGACCCTTTAGCGACCTCCTTGTCTAGAGCCTTGGAGCTGATCAAATTTAGTCCTCTTTGATTGTTGGAAGAATCGGTCCGTTTAGGAGCAGATGGGGGGGCAGGTCGTGATGGAACTAACTTGATCCTCTTTTCATCATGAACGAATGAATGAGTGTTTGATCGTCCATAGATAGTGACATCTAGATCATATATCCAGGGTCTACCTAAAATGATGTGCCCAACATCCATGGTAACAATGTCACACCAAAACTTGTCTGAATAAGTAGCAAATTGGATCGGGACAAGACATCGTTCTTTAACCTCAATAGACGCAGTATTCACCCAAGATACTTTATATGGTTGAGGATAGGGAACAGGTTTCAATCCAAGTACAGTCACCATGTTGGAGGCGACGGCGTTAACACAACTTCCACTGTCAATTATGACTCGACAATTTTTGTCATTGATCTTTGTGGTTGTGTGAAAAATTGTAGATTTACGCCAGTCGTCACTATCCTTAGGTTGAGCTAATGCGCACCTCACAACACTAAGATTTTAGGGTTTTATGTAAGAGATTTGGGACGATACCAAAATGATACACTCTGATACCAAAATGATGCGGGACGATGGGAATTTTAGGGTTTTATGTAAGGGATTTGGGAAATTTGGGGAAGAACAAAGATTTGGGGAAAGCTAGGGTTTGAAAGATTAACAAGATATGACCACGAATCGCAACCCGGGCCTTGGCTTCACCACCATTGACTCAATCTTAGAGATCAAATCAATTACCCAAAGTTTCACAAATGAAACGAAATTTTCTTCAAATATTCATTGCCTTATTTCGTAGAATTGGCCTCTTTAAATAGGCCTTCACAACTACAAGTTCACTCCCATATCCGATGTGGGACTAAAATTATTGAGCAAATACAATAAAGAGGAAATAAAAAAAACACTAGCTAAACTCCAAGCCTTCTCAAGATCAAAGCCACATATGAGTTGAGGCAACACGACGATGGCGACGAAAATATGTGCGAAGTGGAGGCTGTGCAATGTCCTCATCAATAGGTCTAGATCTCCAGAAACTTTACATGAAAATTTCACCCACCTAATGAACAAGCTCTTTGTTCACATTGAAAGATCTGTCTTGGTTGTATCATCATTTTGGTTTAAAGCATTCATTTAGTGATTCATGATCGAGACCAGCGAATATCCGAATCTAGTTACGATAAATGGTTTACACTTTTACTGAAAAGAGATTTTATTGCACTTTCAGGAAACCATACTCCAGGAACATTTGAGAAGGCAAGACTCCGTTTTGCTCATGCTGAGACTGTTGCACCATTTGCCTGTCTTCTTGGCCTTTTTCTTGAAGGATCTGGTATATCTAGCATACCCTTTTTAAACCTTATTTTATTGTACAATCAGTTTTTATGGAACTTTCTCCTTTAGATGGTCTCTTAAAAATTTATAAATATACTTTTACATGGTTTAATTTTGTTTTAGAATTTGAGCAAATACAAAGGGAAGAACCACTGGATTTACCTTCTAAACCTCCCCAGAAAAGAAACTGGAAGGGCAGCGTTGTAGCACCTTTTGCTGGAAATACTATGTTGGTTTTGTATGCCTGTCATAGTGATGATTCTACTAAGGTCATTTCATCTGAAGATCGGAGGAAAAAGTATTTTGTACAAGTTTTGCACAATGAAATTCCTGTTCGTTTACCGGTAAGGTCCATTTGTAAAAGCTTTTGTTTTGTTCCTTTCCTTTTTAAACCGTGAAAATTCTTCCTTAAAATGTTATGTAGTAGGTATCTACTTTTATTATATAGGATAAGGGGGGCATTTTATTGGAAAATGCTGGATAGATCTTCTTCTTTCAAGACTCGAATATTTCTGGGGTTTCTGAAAATGCATGATGCAGCCTGGTCTATATTGCTCTTGAATCCACTTTAAGTTTGTTGTTGACCCTGTGATTTCTTCTATCAGAGGATTTTTTTTATCTGTGTTAATTTCAGACAAAACAATGTTGGTTATTTTAGCTTTTTCTTTATGTTCGCTTGCATGTGTAAATGAATGCTTGTATGAGATTTATGATTTATTTTGGATTTTGTTCCAGCATTAAAGTACAAATTTCCTCTTTTGGTTTTGGTATCAGACATAAAACTTAAGTGCTTCAACATACAACTTTTTGTTGGTGTAATCACATTTTTGTTTGGTATATCAACATTCAATATTACTTTGTTGGCAGGGTTGTGGTAATATTGATTTCTGCCCTTTAGAGGTCTTCAAGGTATGACTAAACCTACCAATTAAGCGTCCTGAAAAAGATAATCTTCCATTTTTCTGCATTGATGGACCTTTTTTTATGTTCACAGGAACAAATTGTCAATCCTCATTTAAAGCACAACTTTGATTCGGTCTGCAACTTTATGCCGGAGAACACCAAAATCCATCTAGTATCAGATTCCTAAAACACTGATATGAGTCGTAAAAAGCTAGTAAGAAGCTTTTCTCATAGAAATACCACAATGGCGACAACAAATCAGGAAATGTTCTGTTACATCACATATTTCTTGGATGAGAAATGAGAATAAACAAATAGTGTTCTTCACAGATATCATTCAATTTATTTTTCCTGCCTATTCTTTGTTTCTTTTAGGAGTCCTTTTAGGGTGTTTGTCCACCCCCAAGATTTTGTATAAATTTGAGATTCATTGGTGTCATGCTCTTTATCACAAGCCATTCTTCGCATGTATATGTTCCTATATCACCTTTGTGTACAGGCAATTTGCACATCTTTTTGGTCACTTTTATCAGCTCATCTTTTGCGAGCATTGCATGTATAATTGGTGTTTTCAGTATCACTTGTTTCCTAATTTCTGGACTCTGGTTTTAACTGGAGATGCGAGGTTAATGATTTTTGCTACGGTGCGAGCAGTTTACTTTTGTTTGTAAACTGGTCATGTATGAATGTATACGAAGAGGAAAATACAGTCAGATACAAGCAAAAAAAGATCTTGAGCTTGATTTTCTCAGTTCATTGTAAGAATGCTCGATGAGAATGGTGTGGCCAAGGTATTAAAGAATATCATTTGTGTTAAAATATTTGTTCAAAAGGACATTCTTTTTAAGAAAAGAAAATAACAATGTCATTGATAGCTTATTGATTGCATGTCAACTTGTCTAGAGGTGGAGGTGAGAAAAGTTTTTAGAGATCAGGCTATAAGAACTTATCATTAGCAATTTTGGGTGGAAGATAGACCAAATGATCATCAAATATTTCGATCATTATTTATTCATCTAACTATTCATTGATGAATAATGATCAAAATATTTGAATTTTTAGCATTCAAACATTAAGCGAATCTCATATGAGCATTTACATATTATTATCCGATGTAAACTTAGTTCTTATTACAACACGATTTTTGACACTTCATAAATATCATTAGTTTAGGTTGTATACTAATTTTGAGATAGTTGAAATTTCTTAATTGACTTTTTACCCAAAATCTAAATTTCAGATTTTTATGATAAATACCAAGAAATAAATTTCAATTATGCTCAAATGATACTTCAAATTCTTAAAAAAAAGAAAAAGAAAACCACATTAACCCAATAAAAAAATCATTTTAATTAAATATTGTAGATATATTAATTAATCAAATAAAAATGGAAACCAAATTTTTTTTATAATAATTTATAAAATTAGCATCAATTATATATCCTCACTTAAGTACCTGATCCTACTTTGCACTTATATATCCTCACTTGCTTTTGGCAACAGTTATATACCTTAAAATTTATAAAATTGCATTTTAGTACCATCTGATATGAAAGCTATGAAAAAAAATCCCGACTTTTCCCATGTGAGAAGACTGTCATAAGTTAATTTGAGAACTTTTGACTCTAAATTTTTTTTTGGGGGGGTTGAATCTAATGTCAAAACCACCCTGACTATATTTTAAACCTACCCAATGATTATCGTGGGTTTAACAATGAAGTAACAAAACATGAAGTCCCAAAAAGAGCCCTCAAATCAACTTGCGAGTGTCACATGAGAAAATTATAAGAAAAGAGTTATCTCATTTGCATAACAGAAAATATTAAAGAGCAGATTTCAGAGACTGTGGAGGTAGATAAGTGCAAGGTAGGGGAAACTATGAGGTATTTAAGTGCTAATTAGGCTCGAATCAAATACTAGTTTGTAAAATTGGGATCTAGACAAAAGCCGCACCCGCCCCATTTGCGAAACCTAAAGCCTCCACAAAAGTTTGTAAAATTGGGATCTAGACAAAAGCCGCACCCGCCCCATTTGCGAAACCTAAAGCCTCCACAAAACCCCCCTCTTTGCTTGAAGAAGGGGGGAAAAATTAATAAGTTATTGCAAATAAGTCCATCTATCAATCTCTCCTCTTCAATTTACACCTGTATCTTCATAATTCGGAGCTTAGTCATCAATGGCGGACTCAGATTCGGATCCCAAAGAGGCCCCAAATGAAGCGGAGAAGACGGCGGTGGAGCCCATAAGGATGCCGACGATGGAAGAGATCCGAGGCCAAGACATTTGGAACAATTGCGCTGTTAGAAGCGTCGTTAGTGGAGTCATGGGTATTTTTTATTTTCTCCAATTTTCAGACATTAGTTCAAAAAAAAAAAGATAAAGAAAAATACCTCTTATTTTAGAAGTTATTTATTGAGAAAAACATCTAAAATTTGTTGTTCAGTTGAGCCTTCATTTAAGAAGTATGCTATTTGAGTTTAGTGTTTGTTTAGAGAATAGTTTTTTATATAAAAAATAATAATAAGTAAAGGCTGCGTTTTGATTATTGGGCATTATCTGGGTTTAGTTTATTAGAAGATTTAGATTCAGATTACTTAGTGCTTTATGACCTTTGTTTCATGATATCTGGATATGTTTGAGATATTGACCACAAAAATACGAAATTGTGCTTGATTTGAGAAAGTGTGAGAATTTATGCAAAAAATTAGTTGAGGAACTTTGCTAGTATTTGAATGGTTATCCCGGGAAGTTTTGGATAAATGAAATGTTTGTTTGAGATGGAGTATGAGGGTGGACTTTACAATCTCATTCCTCATCAAATCTAGGATGTTTTAGTTCTGCAGGGAATTGGAACTTTATTGAGAGAATTGCTTAAGTTCCTTAGTATCCCATATTTATTTATTTATTTTGCTCGTTTCTGATCTCTCTTTATCCATTTCTATCACATTGTAGAAAATTTAGTTCTCTCTTGTGCAGGCTATCAACAGATGTTTTCTTTAGGTTTAGTTCTTTCTATGGTATTCTTATTGTTTTCTCCTTCACTATGGGGAGTTTACCATCTTATTTCTAATCAAGCTGTTTCAAATGATTGTCTGAGTGATAGTCAACCAGTCAACTTTCAGTAATCTTTTCTATTTTGTGTAGTACATCCTGAAGTTTCAATTAACTAGTTTTTCACTGCCAAGTTTATTTCACTCTTAGATATTTTAGTGTCTTGAGGAATTTTCTTTTTACTGAAAAAGGTAGTTTCTCTTCGGATTTCTACCACAAAGTGTTCTTTGGCTTCCTGTACTAAATTACATGTTGTGTGGCTTTTCTAGGAGGTGGGCTTGGTTTGTTTATGGGTCTATTTCTTGGGGCTCTGGATAATCCTTTGATGCAAGAGGAAATGAGTGCAAAGCAGCAATTTATATACACTGCAAAGCAGATGGGAAGAAGAAGCTGGGGTTCTGCCAAGGCTTTTGCAATTATGGGCCTCACATTCTCAGCTGCTGAATGCATTGTCGAGAAGGTAAGCAAGACTTTAAGGGGAAAAAAGAACTCTACTGAAGTGCTTTTCTGTCTAGATTCCGTCTTCATTTTTTATGGGTGTGTTTGCTTCAGGCACGTGCAAAACATGATATGACAAATACAGTTGTCGCCGGTTGTGTCACAGGAGGAGCTATGTCTGCTAGAGGTAACTGTCTTTATAGAAAAAATTTATGATTGATTGGGTAAGAAGAATAAATAAGCAACTTTAAGGATATCCTATTACATTGTATGTATATGGAGTGTTGTAAAGTTGTGAATGAGTATTATCCACCTGCATCACATAACAATCAAGCCTTGTTTGATTTGCTCCCAATGCATAGGAAAACTTACTTATGTCCAAATATCATAGTCCATGTTATGCAATGAAATTGAATGAGCCAACCTATGCTCTTTGATCTACATGTTTGGAAAGCTTTACGAGAAAAAGATGCATTATGAATGCCTTTTCTCCATCGAAAAATAGTTAAAATGTGAACAGTTCCTGATAATAGACCACAAAATTATCCTGATCCATGAGGTAGCAGTGCTAGTGTAGTATGGTATGCAGATCCAATAGAACTTACATAATATTTTTTGAATGTTAATAAACTCTTTATGGTTGCGCTTATTCTTTGGATATTATTTATATAATTATTATGTTATCCTTAGAAATTGTATGGCTAGATCATGCACTGTGATAATCACTTGCTTTGAGATGTGATTTAGAGATTTCTTAAACATGTGCTTAGCCTATAACTAGTAAATGATAACTATGTTATAACCTTGTTATTATGCATGACACCGATATGTGAGATGTGGTGAGACCCTAGGCGTATGTCATAAGCCCACATTGTGATGCGTGTAGCACTAGACCGCATTTGAATTCTCTAAGACTTGTCAACTAAGAGATGGAGAATACAAATTGTTACATGGTCCTTTAGACTTGATGATATAATCATTTTCAATTTGTTTATTTAGCATGATTTGATCTGATGGTTAAACTTGTTTTACAAGTGCTACAAAATCTAAAATATTGGGTTACTAAATTCCATTTAGGAAAATGATAGATTCCTATAGAGGATCCAATATACTCATTATGATGAGTATAATTTATTATACATATCCCATAAAGCCGTGGATCCCTGTCGATAGGTGGTTTTGAAAATGTTTTTAGAATCTATTTATTTATTATATATTGATAATTTTGAAATGATTTTTTCTTCACGGGAATCACAATTTTAGATATGAGCAAATAGGTGAATTATCCCGCTTAATTACATTGTCTAAAAGGATAAATTGACACTAAAGGTGACTGAATGTAAGATAATAATTTTTTTAAATATTTATTCTCATATTATGGAGTAACTTTTATAAATGGTTGGTTGGTAGGAACTTGACTGTTAAATTTAAATTGTTAGGAAATTAGATATAACAAAGTGGAGCATTTATATCCTGATAACTAATCAAATTAGATAAAGGAGAAGTTTATAATTACCTCAGTCATTATTCCAAAATCTTCATTGAAGTACCAAGATCTTTTCTTGAAAGCTTTCTCAACAGAAAAAAAGCCTCCAATCGAATCCACCCGTCACCATGAGGATGCAATACAAAAGAGATAGGATTCTTTTTTTTTTAATTTTCTCAAACCAACATTTATGGGTTCAAGTACTGTTCAAAAATTTCTACTCATTTTCCTGTGTTTTGCTCTTTCCATTTGCCCTTCTATTTATAGGCAAGGGCAACCCCTCATGTTCTCATTTTTTTCTATGTGAGACTATTCCCAAATGAGAACAAGTGTCAAGCTAAAAGACCATTGTCAAAACAGAGGACATTTGTCATGACAAATTTAAGGAATATTACATTAAAATCCTCTTGAGTTCTTATTTTTCATATTTCTACAAATGAAAATATTTGTATTGCATTTAATCCTCTCAAATGACATTTGTGAGACCAATTAGTTTCTCGTATTAAAAGCCAATTATTTTTAATTAACAATTTTAATTTAACAGTCAAGTCCCTATCCAACCAATTGTTCATAAAAGCTCTTTCATAATATGAGAATAAATATTTAAAAAATATTATCTTACATTCAGTTCCCTCGAGTATCAATTTATTTATTTTTAGACAATTTAATTGAGCAGGACAATTCACCTATTTACTCATGCCTAAAATAACAATTCTCACGAACAAAATTCATTTCAAAATTATCAATATATAATAAATAAATAAAATCTAAAAATATTTTTAAAACCACCCGTCGATAGGGTTTTACAGCTTCATGAGATATGCATAATAAATTATACTCATCATAATGTGTATACTGGATCCTCTATAGATATCCATTGTTTTCCTAAATGAAATTTAGTAATCCACTATTTCAGGTTTAATATAGCACTTGTAAAATAATTGGCTTTCAATATGAGAATTCAATCAGTTTCACCAATGTCAATAGAGAGGATTAACTGCCATACAAATATTTCTATTTATAGAAATATGAAAAATAAGAACTCAAGATGGTTTTAATGTAAAATTCGTTATGCTTGTTATGACAAATATTCTTTGTTTTGACACTTCTCTCTTAGCTTGACACTTGTTCTCATTTGGGAATACTCCCACATAGAAAAGACTGAGAACTTAAGGGGTTTTGTCTTTGCCTATAAATAGAAGGGCAAATGGATAGAGCAAAACACAATAAAATAAGTAGAAAACTTATAGTACTATTTGAACCCATAAACGTTCTTTTGAGGAAACTTTAAGTTTTTAAAAATTGAAGGATCCTATCTCTTTTGTATTGCATCCTCGCTGTGACGGGTGAGTTAGATTGAAGTCTTTTTCTTTTGAGGAAGCTTTCAAGACAGGATCTTGAGATTTCGATGGATATTTTGGAATATCGATTGAGGTAATTCTAAACTTTTCCTTTATCAAATTTGATTAGTTATCATGATATTAATGTTCCGCCTTTGTTATATCATGTTTTCCTAGCAAGAAGTTCTCAAAACACTTGATTTAAATTACATGTATAGCTGTTCTAAAGGCTTTTACCACAATCTAAATGATCCAGATAAGTACTTTTTTTTGGGACATGTTATATTTGTCAAAACCTCTTTTCATATCACCAAAGGCTTTAGATATTATCCCATATTAACTATAAGTATCATGTTTTTGTTCTGATACTAAGTGACGTTAGAGTTTCTTGAACATTGGAGTAAGCCTTACAATTCACAAACCATAAGATTACAAACATCAGGACTTCCAACCTCCTTAACTCTCTTTGAAACTTTGAAAATTCATGTGTTATAGAGACAAATTGGGGCAATCTACAATGTTGGTGACACCTTGTTTTTTAGGGTTAATTGCGGACATGGGCGAAGCTACTAAGGGGCCAAATCAGCAGTGGACCCCGCTTGACAAATGAAATATTGCATGAATAGGGGTGCTTGATAGTTAATAAAATTATAGAGAGTAAAATGTAATAATATCTATCTCTAAACTTTCTCATAGCTTTCGCTTTCTCGATCCTGAATATAGAACATGATCTTCTGGTCGGTGGACCAAAGCATGGGTTCAAATGTGTACAAATTTCCATCACTATAAAGTGAATTGATCAATATGTCTATTGATTTTTATCTCAAGAGTTGAGCAACCATTTTGATAATCGTAGTCTGGATTTTCTTTTTTCAGTGACATGTGTTGAACCACGTAACTCGTTCTCTTTGTTTGATAAAGAAAAACTGATTTGATTGGTCAATTTTTATCCTACATTTTTTTTCTAGAAATAGATTAACTATATCTATCATGTCGCTACTCATCATGATTTTATAACCTTCACTGTTCAAGTTGAAGAAATTGGCAGTAATCTTGCTTGTTTCAACAACAATCGTTGAAAGAGCATTTTCAGCAATTGAAAATTGTTAAGAATGTCTTGGAAACCGAATGAGAGACATTTATATGAATGATTGTTGGCAACTTATATGAAATATTTTGTAGCATTGATGAACAAGATGTAATGAAATGGTTTCAAGAACTGAAAGCAAGAAGAATATTATTGTAATACTATATTTTAACTTGAATTTTGATTTTGACAGTCTTTTTATGTAATGATGTTTAAATACTAATCAAATGCGCAAAATATTTGTGTTATTGGGTTTGATTATTAAAATTTGGACCCGTCTTGGCGAAATTCCTGCCTCTATGACCGACTGAATGCAGATGGACCCCTTGTAGTTCTATTGTTGTAGATAGACTCCCTTAGTGATTTTTTTTGACTCTTTTAACCTCAGGAGGTCGATTGTCAAAAAATAAAAGAGAAAAAAATCTCTTTCTAAGGTAAAAGAGTAACAAAATTTTCACTCAAGGGGTCTAATCGGCATCAATAGAATTGCAGAGGTTCCATCCACAATTGGGTGATAGTGCAGTGGTCTATCCGCAATTAACACTATTTTTTATTTACAATTCAACACTGGATTTTGGAAAATTAACTGCATTTATTCTCAACTTCACGCCTTACCTATACTTGTAAACAGTGATGTCAGAAACTTGAATATATAACTGCATTTATTCTCAACTTCACGCCTTACCTATACTTGTAAACAGTGATGTCAGAAACTTGAATATATCCTTGCATGCAGCACATCTTTTTGCGTAATTATCTTAGATTTGTTCATTGTAGGATAAGGCGGGATAAGTATACTTGACCATTTAATCCTTTGTTAGGAACTTCTGTTGGATGAAAACAAAATCATAATGTGAAGGTTAATCACAAATGCGCGATCACGTAGGCCTCATTTACTCGATATGGCATCATTTCCCAATTTAGTAGTTTTCATGTGGGAATACTATGATGAATTATCTCTTGCTTCAGTTTAACTGAAAAGATACTGAATTGCTCTATAAATTGAGGGCAAGAGAGCATATGTCTTCTGAGTTCGCGTGATGCAAGTGCTAATAAAAAGGATTAGAGGATATAAGCGGTTATACTGTCATAGTACGTAAAAGGGCTGTTTCTGCAGTTAACCTTAAACTTTTTTGCGCCAGGTCATCTAGGTCATAAGTGAACTTTGAATTTTCTTCATTGATGATGTTTAATTTGTATAAATACATTTACTGTTAAACACGGAAATATCTGATTTACGATAAATTGAAATGTACCCTTTTTCTGAATAAATTAGTGCATTTGTTATATGTGGATTTTACATGTCACCAATCCATTATATGGTTATTTCCTTTGTAGGTGGCCCGAAGGCTGCATGTGTCGGATGCGCTGGCTTTGCTACATTCTCAGTTCTAATTGAGAAGTTCTTAGATAGACATACCTAATAGATCAATGACTCTCAAACTGATTCATGTACAACCGAGAGATTTTTTGTTAATCTCGGGTAACTTTACAGAGGTGAAGTATCAGTTTGCACCCTCTTTGTGCAAAAGCAGCCTATGAATGTTATAAGTTGCTATGTAATTTTAGTTTGTGTAACTTTTTTACTTTAGTGTTGGATGACTTAAGGAGTCAATGCTCCTTGGACCGTGGGTTTGCTCACAATATGTAGTAATTTTGTATTCCTTATCGTTGAAGAGGCGGATGGGGTGGTTGAGCTCATTTATAATAGTGCAAGTTTTTTTTTGTATAAATACCTAATTTTCGTATTAATGACGCCTTGTGTTACTGTATTCTAATATCTAATAATTTTACCCTTTTTACCGCATCCAATAGTTTTACTTTTTATTTGCTGTGTGTGTCCTTGAGATGTTGCGAAAGGTATTCTCTGGTGAATTACGGATGATCATAGCCGTTAATAATATAATGATGAAAGGCTCCGGATTATTATATAACAGCGTACCATGTTGGATGAAGGTGTACAAGTATGGATATTTTTTATTGAGAAAAGTGTAAGTATAGATATTGTGATGTGAATATCTAAATGTCATGTGCAATCCTCATTTTATCTGCTTGCAGAACTAACATCGCTGCATTTGCATTTGTTAAACTATATTGTGAAAAACAAGCATATGATTATCAATAAGAATATTTAAATTGATCGCATAGTTAATTTAATCGTAGCCATTCAATTATATTATGGGATGGTCATCAGGAGGAAAAACAATTCGTGGGGCCTATAAGGAAGTTCTTCTCCTTCTGTAACTTGCAAACTTATTCCACCTCAGTATAGGTGCAGCTTTGCAAATATTTAATTTTAAATTCATATTCTTCATGTAAAACCAGCTCCAGAAAAAACCAGAAAGCCTTGATTGGATGCATAACGAATGCAAAATATTTATAGTACAATCATTTGAGTAAAGATTGGCTGATCATGGTATTTGTGTGTATATGACACAAATGTATATAGTTTTTTGTTTAAGTATCTTCCCTTGTAGTTTTCATTTTATTATAACATGCATAATGAATGAACATGATTTGTATGTACAACCATTGAAATTAAAGCCTTCCAAGTCTTCGTCGTTGTTGTCGTCCATAGAAGTCTTCTCCACGCTGTCTCTTGCAAACGTTTCCAACACGTCAGTGTGTCCATTAAATTATATTGGAAAAACAAGCATTTTACTAGGTATCCTTCAACCAACCATATCATTAACTTAATTTTAGCCACTCAATTTATATAATATAGTTGGACTATTGACTTGGAGGCCCCCACCACCCCAAAAATAATAATAATAAAAAATAAAAGGAAAAAAAAAAAAAAAAAAAAAAAATTCGTCATACACACCACATGAACTAACATCGCCTTACTTTTCAAAACTCCAAAAACGAATAGTATTACCATTCATTTCAATGAATAGTATTGACCCTTCCTTCTCTATCTGCCTAGAGATCCGCTCTTAATTCCCTACCAGGCACTAGAAGGTCGACCCCATTTTCCACGGATTTGGATCCTCTCCACTACAAAAAAGTAGTGGAGAGACCACTACTTTTAATCTCAAGCGTTGATTATTTAGTAGGCGGTTATGATACAATCGAAATCTAACACTTACCATACCCCCATGTATTACACTCATTCCTAATTTGCACTAAAAGAAAAAATCATAACCATCAACTAAATAATCAATGACTATGATTATGTAGTGGTCCCTCCACTATTTTTTTTGTAGTGGAGAGGATCCGAATCCATTTTCCACACTATGGTGGCGTTTGGTTGTTTGCAACTGGAGTTGCAATGCAAGTGTCACTTGCATGCAACTGAGACGTTGCAACTCTTCTTACACGCAACTACAATTACAATTGTTTGGTTTAAAATTTAAAATTTACAACTTATAGTTGCAGCTGTTTGATTATGCTTATAACAACATATGCAACTCATAAAATATTTTTAAAAAATAATATTTTTTAAAAAGTAATATATTTTAAAAAAATAATATATTTAAAAAAAATAATATATTTTAAAAAATAATATATTTTAAAAAATAATTTATTTTTAAAAAATAATTTATTTTTAAAAATAATATAATATATCATTTAAAATATATATTATTTTTAGAAAATTATATTATTTTAAAAATACATTAATCAAAAAACATATTATTTTAAAAATATATTGTTCAAAAAATATATTATTTTAAATATAAAATTATATTATTTTAAATATATATTATTCAAAAAATATATTATTTTAGAAAAATAATAGTATTCCTGGAAAATTTTATTTTTCAAAAAATATATTATTTTAGAAAAAATATATTATTCAAAAAATATATTATTTTTAAAAATATATTATTTTTAAAAAAATATTATTTTAAAAAATAATATATTATTTTAAAGATAATATATTACTTTAAAAACTAACATATTATTTTGAAGAAATTATTATAATAATAATTATTTTAAAAGATTGATGTTGTTTTGTTTAAACGTTTTTGAAGAAATTATTATAATAAGAATTATTTAAAAGATTATTTTAAACCTTTAATGAATTTATTTTTGAAATATTAAGTAATGATTTTGATTTTAATAAATTTAGGTCAGTTGCAACTAAGTTGCAACTATGACTTGCGACCATTTTGGACGTAAGTCATATGTTGCAACTAAGGGTTGTTTTGCAACTGTGGTTGCAACTGAAACTGTGAGTTGCAGCAAAACAAACACATGCAACTGGTCAAATTAGACCTAGTTGCATGCAACTGGAGTTGCAACCACTCCAGTTGCAGCCTACCAAACAGCCCCTATGTTAGACTTTACTCCTGAGCCCAGTCATTCCCCGCCGCTCTTTCACACAGCATCGAGGGCATTTTCCAAGTCTTCGTCGTCGTCGTCCCACATTTTCCACGCCTGAGCCCAGTCGTCCCACATTTTCCACACTACGTTGACTCTACTCCTGAGCCCAGTCATTCCCCGCCGCTCTTTCACACGTACAGCATCGATCGAGGGCTTTTTCATACATCGTTCCCATTCACCAACCCCCTCTTTTCTGGCGGGCCTTCTTAATTTCCTCTGCTTCCTTGTGCTTCCCACCAGATCGCTATAGCTACCAATCTCCCATTTATATATATCCGTTAACTGCTCATTCACCTTTGGGTATCGAAGTATTAATTAATTAAAATATTAGTTAGTTAGCATGGGCATCACAATACTTGGTCGGCTTCCCCATTCTATACTATTATTGCTGGTAGTAATACTAATTATGCTGCCATCCTTCAAATCTGCTGCTCATACTGTCGACTGCCTCCCATCCGACAGGTCTTCCCTCCTCGACTTAATTCGTGGTGTCTCTTTCAGCACGGACATTGAAATACCTATTTAGGTTGGTGCCATGTTTAAATCTGTATCTAACGCGCTTTCTATCCATTGATGATTTCTTATTCTAATGAGAAACTGCAAAAATTAATGCTCCATTATGTTTAATTAAAAAGGTCATCAGTCCACATCAAGTTCTAATGAGAAACTGCAAAAATTAATGCTCCATTATGTTTAATTAAAAAGGTCATCAGTCCACATCAAGGAAACTATTCTATTGATGATTAAGAATGCTCCATTATGTTTAATTAAAAAGGTCATCAGTCCACATCAAGGAAACTATTCTATTGATGATTAAGAATATTTATTTGAGACCAGGGTAGGACCATGGCTAGTAAAAGTATAATATTTGGATCCAATTAGTCTGTGTAGGACAAAAGAATCAAACGAGGACTTGACCTTGAAGCAGATTCGGTCGTCGGAGGTGAATTTAATATGGGCTTGTTCAGACCAGCTACAACAAATTTGGTGGGGTGTAGTAAGGGGTTTTGTCTTTTTTAAAACATTTAATTATGATATAACTATACTATGTGTCAATAAAAGATGACACCTCCATACTAAAGGTCTTCCAATGAGCAATAATTTTACATAATTTTTTCTTTAATATGACTCTCAAAGTCACCCACAACCACAAGTCAAAGTTACAGCATAGACAAGTATTTTAAATATGCTTTCCCAGATCGCTATAGCGAGGAAGACCGCTCCAGCCTGCTCCTTCATCTTCTCTCCTCCTACTTATATATATCCGTTAATTGCTCATTCACCTTTGGGTATCAAAGTATTAATTAATTAAAATATTAGTTAGTTAGTCAGCATGGGCATCGCAACACTTGGTCGGCTTCCCCATTGTATGCTGCTTCTAATAGTGTCGCTGCTGCTGATCCCGTCCGCATGCGCTGCTGCTCGTCATACCAATACCACTGTCGACTGCCTCCCATCTGACAGGTCTTCCCTCCTCGACTTAATTCGTGGCGTCTCCTTCGTCAAGGATTATTATTATCCCTTCGAAGATCGCGGCCCCCCGGTTTCATGGAAACCTGGCTCCAACTGCTGCGACTGGGAGGGAGTCACTTGCGACCCCAAATCTGGCCACGTCAGCGGCCTCGACCTCAGTAACCGTGGTATCAACGGCACGCTCAGTGCTAGCCTCTTCAATCTCACCTCCCTCCGAACTCTCAACCTCTCCTACAATCTCTTTCAAGGGCACTTTCCTCAGGTGGGGTTTGAGAACCTTACACAACTCACCCGTCTCGATCTCTCATTAGCCGGATTCAGTGGTCAGATTCCTGTCGGCATCTCTCTCTTAACCAACCTCATCTCCCTCGACCTCAGCGTTGCAATGGTCGACTACACACCTGACGGCTTCTTCTGGGAATCATACTACCTCAGCAATTACTCACAACTCCGCCATCCAAGTTTCCGGACTCTAGTTGGAAACCTTAGCAATCTGAGGGATCTCCGTCTCGACGGCGTCGGCCATCCAAGTTTCCGGACTCTAGTTGGAAACCTTAGCAATCTGAGGGATCTCCGTCTCGACGGCGTCGACATGTCCTCGAACCTAGACTGGGGAAGTGCTTTGTCCACCTCGATGCCTCACCTTCAAGTGCTCGGTTTGAGATTCTGTAAACTCCCAGGTAAAGCTGTACTTCTTTATCTAATCAGTTTTATATTCAAGCATTATTTCCTTATTTATTATATAGTATATATATTTGGAGTCGCAGGATTGTTGCCGACAGACATCTTGACATCACACCCCAACCTGACTCTTCTCGACCTATCGTGGAATGAGATGCTTTCTGGGAATCTGCCGGATTTTCCAAGCAACAATGCGTTGCGAATTTTGCGCTTTTTTGAAATGAATTTATCCGGGAGTAGTATACCAGACTCTATTTCGAATCTCAAGCACCTGACTACTCTGGATTTCTCGTATTGTGGTTTTACTGGGATGATACCATCTTCCATCGGGAATCTTACCCAGCTCGTATATTTAGATCTCTTGGGGAACAATTTCACGGGTCCGATCCCCACTTCTATCGGAAATCTGACTCATCTCATATATTTAGTTCTGGGTTATAATCAACTTCAAGGACAGATTCCAACATCCTTGTTTAAGCTCTCAGCCCTCGGCTACCTCGAACTATCATCAAACGACTTTAGTGGAACGGTGGAGCTCGGCATGATAAGAAACCTCCCGAACTTAACATTCCTCGACCTCTCTCGGAATAATCGATTGTCTATACAAGAAGTTAGTGGCATTAATTATTCCGACACCTTTCCCAGGCTTAGTTATTTAGGCCTGGCTTCATGCAACCTCATCAAAGTGCCTGCCTTTCTAAGACATCAACATGAACTCGAAACATTGGACCTTTCTGATAACAAGATTGGCGGCGGAATACCAGAATGGATTTGGGGATTAGACGAGGGATATCATTTGAATCTCTCCATGAATGAATTCACTCATTTCGAAGGCCCACATATTCTCTCTTGGAAACATGGTTTTACGGCCTATAGTGCTCTTGATCTCCATTCAAACTCGCTTAGGGGACCAATTTTTCTTCCCTCGACGTCGTTCCAATTCATAGATTACTCAAACAATAGCATCTCATCTGTTATCCTGACTAACATTTCCTCCTATCTTTTAAACTGCACTCATCTTCTGCTCATGAACAATAATCTTACTGGAGAAATCCCAGCATCCATCTGTGAAGCACACGATCTCCAAGTCCTCGACTTGTCTAACAATAGTTTGAGTGGCTCAATCCCGTCTTGTCTATTTGATGTGAAATCTCTTACAGTCTTGAATCTAAAAGGGAACCAACTTCAAGGGGCAATTCCTAAACATTTTAGTAAAGGATGCATGCTGGAGGCATTGATCCTCAGTGACAATCGTTTGAAAGGTCCAATTTCTCAAACTTTGCTCAATTGTGGGTCGCTAAAGGTTTTAGACCTTGGGAACAATCAGATTGTTGGAGGTTTTCCAAACTTTGCTCAATTGTGGGTCGCTAAAGGTTTTAGACCTTGGGAACAATCAGATTGTTGGAGGTTTTCCATCTTGGTTGGGACAAATGGTTTTAGACCTTGGGAACAATCAGATTGTTGGAGGTTTTCCATCTTGGTTGGGACAAATGGTTGACATCTCTGTCCTAGTTCTTCGAGGAAATGCACTTCGTGGGAAAGTCAAAGTTACAGAAAGTCCTGAGGCAAATAACACATTTTTAAAATTGCAGATATTTGATCTATCTTCCAATCACTTCAATGGAAATTTGCCTTCAAATTGTTTCAACAATCTAAAGTCCATGATGAGTTTCTCCACTATGAATCTAAGCATAACTGATAAAGACAGTTATAACTATGACGCTTTAGTCATAAGTAATGGGAATGAATATTCCTTTCAGAGAATATTATCGATATCATATACATATATGGATTTCTCAAACAACAGTTTTGATGGTAATATTCCTGAGGTGATCGCTAAACTCCAAGGCCTTCACATGTTGAATTTATCAGGAAATTCTCTCACAGGAGAGATTCCTTTAGTAATTGGAAACATGAAGCAACTTGAAAGAGTGGATCTTTCTGCAAACCATTTGTCTGGACAGATTCCTCAAGAAATGACTTCTCTCACATTCTTAGCTTCTTTAAATCTTTCTAGCAACAATCTAACAGGAAGAATTCCTCAAAGTAACCAGTTCAATACATTTTCGAACGCTTCTTACCTAGATAACGATGGGCTGTGTGGAATTCCATTATCAAAGCAATGCAACAATGAAAGCCCAAATCAGACAAGTGCAGTGCAACCTACATCCTCTGACCATTCATCACCGTCAACCTATATCATTGTACTTGCGCTATTAATCGGCTTGGGATTTGGAGTGGGATTTGCAGTGACCTTTGTGCTTCGCAATGTGCAAATGAAATTTTGGAAAAGGCAAAATACTACCAACATCTAGCTATTCGTGAGCCCTTTTTTGATCTCTCAGGTTTTCATGGTTTTTAAATATAAATGCCCCTTTTTTATCTTTCAGCTTTTCATGTTTTTTAAATATAGTTGCTGAAGCTTTTTTAAATATAAATGCCCCTTTTTTATCTTTCAGCTTTTCATGTTTTTTAAATATAGTTGCTGAAGCTTAGATTGGATACGAAGAAATAAATAAAATGGCTTGTAGCTCACTACAATGTGTCTATTGTGTTCTAATCTGAGAATCATTGTTCATAATGCAGTACGCATAAAATAAGTGTGCTGGCCACTTTCAAACCCCAATCATTTAGCACTATTTAAATCGTTGATGTTTGGAATGGGTATACTTTCCTTCAAAAGAATGTACACATCGCTGTGATTTCTGTGCTCTAAAATGTTACTTCGACAATTTTTTATAAATGCTAGATGTTGGCATTATTGGATTTGGATCCTCTCGTCAATAATAATTGCCTTTTGATTTTGATGAAAGCTCACAGTTGATAATGTTAATAACCAAAAGCAAGTAATTTGCTAAATAAACATCCTTTGAATTTGAGAGCATAATTTTCATAAGCTAAACATTACTTTTGAATTCGAGACCACAATTTTCATAAGCAACAGTAGATGCACTCTCAATGTCTGCTTTACATTTTATGCTGTCTCATAAAGAAAGACCAACATCATCAAATCACCATTCATCTTATTCACAGTAATAAATCCAACAATTATAAAGAATCCTCATCCAGAATCAATCAATACTTCAAATCCCTTGAATATCGTTAAAAAAAAGGCTTTCAAACATCACTATGTATTACATAACAAACATATGAAACTATACACCTGTATAATATTTTCTCCGACTTATATATACAGTACTCCGTGCCCAACAACTTTGTCTTCAGCGCGTGTTCACCACCCACAGCTTGTATCTATGTACATACAAATACACAAGACAGGGTCCAATCAGTTTCACATCAGACAGCCTCTTACAAAGCTTCATCTAGAGCTCAATACTACCAGATTCCTTTATGCTCTTACCCAATCCTTGCAACACAGAAATTCCATCCAAATAATCAGGACACAAATCAAGGTCAAGCATTTTCATGAGAGTATCTGAAGCATCCAAATAATTCCCTCCTTTAACATACCCTTGAAGTATCCATGAGAAAGTCTTCTTCCTTCGACCAGAACCCATAATCTTAGTTATGGCAAGCAATCTGTTAACAGCACTAACTTCCTTTTGAGACGCACAAATGGCTAGAACAACATCACAGAGTTCTTTGTCAGGCTCTTTGCCTGATAGCTTCATTTGCCATAGCTCGTTCTCAGCTTCCAGCCCTAATCCAGCACAAGTGTAAATTGCGAGGAGCTTCTCATGAACTATACCGGCAGTTACAGAGCTTCCTTATTGGACTGCGCAATTTGATAATCGTACTCCATAGTTTATGATATCGGATTGATATTTCTCGATATGATTTGTATTCTCATCATCGAGTACATCAATAGAGCCTGACTTCATTGATGCCTTTAACTTGTGCAAAGCTTTTGAGAACTCTTTCTGCTCTTTGACTAATACAGTTAATGCAATAAGTTAGCCATAAGCATCAGGGTTCAGTCCACACTCCTTGACTTCGATTACTAACTTGACAGCACCCATGTAATTTCCATCTACCTGAGAGAATTTAAAGATTATCAAAGAGCCGGTTAATTCGGAATTTTTCTACCCAGGTAAAATCAACTAAAACTTAACAATTTATTCAGGACGGAGATGGAATAAAATGGCACCAAGTTACTCATCGTTCCTTGTTTATAAGATTTAACTTATCTCCTCACAGCAAAACGACAGTCATCATATGATTAAATGGATAACAATGTGAATAAATGGATAACAATGTGAACATATTTTACTAAAATCATTAGTCTTGGTCCCCTACCTAGACTCATAATTTGGTACATCAGCTTTATTTAATTTGGGTACATACAATATGGTGGAGTACTGATTTTCTATGCAATTGAACATGCCACTTAATGCATAAGATAGAGTGCATGTAATACTTGTCCACATTCATTTATCATATCAAACAATATGGTAAGCATGGATTTAATATGGAAAATATTAGTAGAGGTAGCTCGAAAAGGTCGAAGATGCAGAGAAATATAAAGGTGACTAAAGGTCAAATAACAAAAGGGTATGCTTGTCTTCTTCTTCAACATGTTCAAAATATTTTTAGATATATTTTCAAAATCAAATAAGGTAATGGTTCAAGATCGTTCATGGAGTAGCTAGGACAGTGACCTGAAATATCTGCAATGTGCTGTTAGCATCAAATGCAATTCCAATGAAAAATACAAATGTGAGAGGCTGTTAAAACTTCTAAATCAACATACAAATCAACTGCAAAACGTAAAGAATATCAACCTTAATTTCAAATCAATAAATGCATACCTTCAGTAGCATTAAGTGCTATCTCCAAGTGGTTCTTATCATATACCGATGAAGTATGATATATGCTTGTGTTAGTCCATCACCAAAATATACAGAATATTCTCTTAAATCAGAAACAAATTAGCTAGTATAGAAAATAATTTATTCCCTACAAAGTAAAATGTTGTGACACATAAGTAAAAAAGAACATGCAAAGAAGGTCGACAAAAATTTAGGTTGTGTCAAAGATATGCTCCCTCAATCCAACCATTAATATGATCGTCTGTTATGGTTTTCTTTTTACATACTTTATTTTAATTAAGCAAGGAGGCTGGAGGTAGGTTAAGAGAACTTGGCTAGAATGAAATTAGAATAATATGAGTGGTTTATTTAATAAAGAAGATGACCCTTAACAGAACAGAATCGAAGAATATAATTCATGAATCAACCCAAAAGATTTGGAAGAAATGCTCTGTTGTTTATCATTATTGTCGCTCTTTCCATTTGAGTTATGTTGAGCTACATAATCTAAAATTTCTATAATACGTCAGAACCTGATTTTTTTCTTCTGATATAATATCCTAGATATTTTACTTGGGGATTTGCTCCTGCAATCAAATAACTTAGGAATAAAAATAAACACAAGGACAATTCTATAGTCAATTATAAGTACAATGCTTTATGGATCAAAATATATGACAATCGAAAAGAACATATGCAAAAAGTAAGTGTTTAGGAAAAGGAATGATATGATAGACTTGTGGATTTACCTTAAACGATAAGGTAAGAAATAAGTACATTTGTTTCTATTAAGGATAAAATGAAAGAGAATTGATTAAGAATTTGAGATAGTCTGATCATGTTCAACACAATGTTCAAAATAGCAGAAGCACTGAGCAAAGTGGTAGACCATTTTATAAAGCGAGGTGTAAGCTTCAAAGCATAAGGCGTAAGCCTTAAAAGTTGCGTATATAATTTTAAAATTTTAAATGCTATAAACATATAGCATGTAGTGACGTAAAAATTTACTATAAATACATTCAGGTCATGATTAGTAAATAAGAATTAAATATGCTAAGTATAGCGCAAATTATAATAAACTAAGCTACATGTATAAGATATACACTAGTACAAAACAGAACAGTCCAAATGGTTATTAGAACCGTTTGGACAAGTGAAAATAGCCCAAACGGTTGAAACCGTTTGAGATAACAAAACCCAAATGGTTGGAACCGTTAGGACTGTTAGGTGATCCCAAACGCAATCGGCAAATGGTTTAAACCTTATGGGATGTTTAGCAACAATCCGAAGCGCTCGGCGGCCTTGTTTGGGATGTTTAGCCCAAACGGTTTAAACCGTTTGGGTGATTTGGTTATTTTTCTTTTCTAAAATAAAACATATCTATTTCTCCATTTTCTTCCTTAACTAAACCCGCTTCCCCCCAAAAATTTCCCCTTCCCCCCAAAAATTTCACCCAAACTCTAAAATCCCCGCGTCCCTAACCCCAATCTCTCAAATCCCTCGTTTCAATCTACCAAAAATCCACCTCTCGTCTTCATCACCATCGTCATCTCCATCCCCTGAAATCCCTCTCCGACCCCGACCGCCGCCGCCAGCAACAATCCGAAGCGCTCGGCGGCCTCAACGACAAAGAGGTTGTCCGCAACTACTTCAACAACACTGGCTTCCAGCGCTGGCGCAAGAATCTACGGCAAATCCACCGACGGCGTCAACAAGGTCCAGCTCGACATCCGCCTCAGCCACTCCAAAACCGTCGAGAAAACCCTAGAGATGCTTAAGGATGACGGGCCCCTCGTCGGCGTCTCCGTCTTTGACGCTGGGTGTGGCACCGGCAGCCTCTCCACCCCCCCCACCCTGTCTCCGCCAGGTTCGCAATGGTCGCCGAAGCCGAAACCAAAGCGGCCGAAGCCTTGAGCTCCTCCGCTGAAGCCACAGTGCCGAGATTCGAGGTGAAGAAGCTGGACCAGCAGCTGGAGTCCATGGTAGAGAGAGAACAGACCCAATAACCCAAATCAATGAGGCCCCCTTCCCCTTATGATGGCACTTGAATTTATTTGGATTCATGACCCATTTGTGTTCTTTCCCTTAACAATGAAGAATAAATGTTCAAATTTTTGACGTGGGTGCTTTTATATATCAGATAATCTTTGTGAAAATTTATTGTTACGCGTTGGAAAGTAAGAGTTCAAGGTTAAATGGAATATCTTGAATTTTTTTTGTCTTGGTAGAGCATTTTGCTACCGACAGGCTTTATTTATAATGAGGGTTTCCAAAATTATTGTTTGGGAAATTAGTCCTGTTTATTTGTGTTTTGACTTGGATTTATTTCTACAAGTTCATATTGACTAGTATAATTTTGTGAGTCTTTTAGCGATTCTGTTCAATGTTGAATTTTCTTCTTTGCGATCGATTTTTTGATATTTTTTTATAAAAGAAATTCCATGCATTTGAATTTCAAGCCGGCTATTTTGTTATTGTGTTCATGAATGTTGATCTCATACAATATGATCCCACTTTATCTTTGTGTGTTGTATAGTTATACAAAAGCTCTAGAGGTTATAAAAAAGCTTCACAAGGATCACACGAGATAAAGACTTACAAGTTGAAATTAGAGAATCTTCAAACTCTGAAGGATGCGGCTCATAAGGTTGTATTCCTTTCTAACATGTTATTTCTTTTATATCTTTTTATTCTCTCATATCTATGACCTTAGTTTTCGTGTTCTATGTTCATTTATTATTTTAATATATGCTAAAATAGAACTAAATTTGTTTATCCAGCTCCGGGATAGTATATCCCAGGAGCAGGAGAAAAGTGAATCCCTAAAAGCACAGATTAAGGAAATGGAGAGGAACATTCAAGGTGTAGAGGACAAAATCTTACATACAGAAACTACTTTGAAGGAATTGCAGAAACTCTTAGACCAGATTTCAACGAGTACTACTGCGAGAAGCACTTTATTTAAGCTGCAACAGACACAGTATGTTGCCCTTGCTGAGGAAAATGAAGGTCGGCTAAGAAACCTGACCTTTACATATTGAACATATACAAACATGTGATTGTTGTACAAACGTGCGAAATATTTATTTCCCTTGTTGTTTATTCTCATTCTGTCCATTTGAGGTTTCCAACAGTTTTATGAGTTGTTCTTTCGATTACTCTGATATTGTTTGATAATGGGGGCAATGATTCTCATTCTTCTGCATCTCCATAGGTTGCAATACTACTAGCTGTTGCTTTACATGCATTTATCTTTTCAGTAGTATGCATGTTAAATTTTTTGTCGGCTTCTTCAATGACTTTTCTCTTCTTTCATCTTTTTTAGATACTGATGATGAGTTAAAAGAATGGCAAAGCAAATTTGAAGAAAGGATCGCATTACTACAGTCTAAAATTAGTAAGCTGGAAAGAGAGATGAATGATGAAGAAACCAGAAGTTCCACATTTTCACAGACAATTAATGAGTCCATGCGAGAGATCGGGAAACTTCAAGCTAAAGCTGATTTAATGTGCCGCTTCTATGCTTCATTGGTTTCACATTTACCTTTTATGATATGCAGTTGACATTGCATGTATCTCAGGCTCACATATCATCGAGGCATGAACGTGATTCAAGGATACAAAAGATTATTGGTAAGCATAACCTTGGGTTTCTTCTTGATGCCCCTTTCAGCGAAAACGTGGCTGCCAGCCTCACAAATAGAATTAAAACAAGATTGTTAGATCTTGATAAGGACTTGCATGACAAAAAGGTACATTTAGTCTTAAATATAATTTTCATCTAAATATTTTCGGCAGTGTATACAACTGTACTGCCAATGCAATCTAGTCATTGATAGCTCATGATACTTATTAATTTCCTTTTGAAGTGCCTGTCACAGTGCTGCTTTTGCTTTCTATCTCGTAAAATCAGTGTTACCCAGACATAGGACATGAGTGCCATGTGGTCAAGAAGTCGAAAGGGAAGTATGTTTATGTATACAGATTACAAGAAGTGAAATGGTTCTCCACAGATGCTTATCCTTTTGTTTGCTTAACGGTTTTGATATGCATGGTTACGTTTGAGTTTTAACAATTACAATGTGAATTTATTTGATATATCTTCCTAATCTAGTGTATTTTACTCACCGAGCCTATGTTTTTTTCGTTTATTACTGGTAGATGAATATGCAAAATGACATTTTAGTTTCTCTTTGGGTGCTTATTTGTTTTGATAGTAACAGTTACATGTTATAATCCGGGTAGATGTTTGCATGTGATGTTTGTATGTATTTTTTACACTTGCGTAGGGGCCGCCATGCATCCAAACTTACTGAGGAGGAAGAAGATGAAGAATATCTCAAGGAAGAAGATGGTTTGGCTGGTACGAGAGGGATTCGTCTGCTTCTGCAACCATCTTGTAAGTGCTACTCTGTAATGCTAGCAGCTGATTGGTTCAACTTATTTGTGTATGCAAGCATTTTTTTTTTCACCTATCCATGCGGTTCAAATGTTAATATATGTGGGCTGGTCGGGTGCCACTCAGTGTAGGTTTTTAATGAGAGTGTTTTGGTTGTCAATACTGCCCCTGAACTGACAAATTATCTAGTTTTGAATTTCATATCCAAACATAAAACAGATGAAAAATTGATGTCAAAAATCAAAATCTAGCAATTTGTTAGGTTCATATGTTTGGGGCAAATGCAGTCTTGACTTGCATTCTCTTATCCCAAGTTTTTGAATATTAATTTTACTTAATGCCTACTAACTGGTGACAACTGTTCAATTAAGGGTTCTTTGAATTTTTCCATAACTAAAAAAAATCTGAACAGTTCATATGAGTAGAGAAGAGGTCTCTTATTTTTGCTGAGAAATAAAGAAATTCCCCCTTGATAATGTTACACTTTCATTGCAAGTATACAGGGGAAGATGAGAGACTATCATCTTGCTGGATTAAATTGGTTAATACGATTAAATGAAAATGGCATCAATGGCATTCTTGCTGATGAGATGGTAAGTCATGATACATGCTTAAAATATAGGTTAGTTAATTGGTTCGCTTAAGGCTTGTTAAGGAGTTGATAAATTGTGAGGTTAGTTATTATTATTATTTGTTCCATTGCATATCTTTCAATATCATTTTATGGTTTCCTTTGCCTAAAAATTATGTAGGGTCCTATACTAGTTTTGGTTAAGGCATGTTAAGGAGTTGGTAAATAGTGAGGCTAATTGTTCTTTCAGCTGCATATTTTTTTCAATAACATGTTTTGTGGATATAAGTATTGTCGTATTGATGGGAATACGGGTGGGGAAGATCGTGATGCTTCGATTGAAGCCTTCAATCAGCCAGGAAGTAAAAAATTCATTTTCTTGCTTTCAACAAGAGCAAGGGGGCTGGGGATTAACCTTGACACTGCCAATGTGGTTATTCTTTATGACAGTGATTGGTAGACATGTTTTTCTGTATTTTTTTGTCGTTTTACTATTTAGCACAGTTCTCAATATGGTGTCCTATTGTTATTAATCTCAGGAATCCGCAAGTTGATCCGCAAGCCCAAGATTGTGCACATAGAATTGATCAAAAGAAAGAAGTGTTCCGGTTTTGCACTGATTTAGCTTTACTAAATGAAGTTTACTGACTCTTCTTATGTTAATGTGAAATCTCTTGTAAGTTACTGTCATTTTCCCCTTGATATCGCCGTACACCATTGAGGAAAAAGTTATTGAGAGGGCATATAAGAAGCTTGCTTTTGATGCTTTAGTTATTCAATAAGGCAGATTGGCCGACCAAAAGTGTAAGCATTTTATGATCTTCTATGTTATTATGAATACATTAACTCTTGACTAATGTCATATATTTTAGATAGTTATTGCTTGACTAATTATTTCTGACTTGTACCAAAGGATGAAAACAAGGTGGACTTTAAGAAAATTGTTAGTGAGAATTGGATTGAGCCACCCAGAAGGGAACGAAAACGCAAGCAAGTTTATAATAGTGACCATTCGTTCTGAAGAAATCTGATAGTGAAATCTTTGTATGCAACTCTAACTGATCCTCATGCTCCCATGGAGTTGCAAACTAACTATAATCATATATCATGAGCAATTATAGGAAGTTGCAAGGATCATGAAAATGCTCTGTTAACAGAAATGTTAAGAGTTTTTGATGAGAACAAGAATTGAAAATCTTCCATACTAGCTTAGTTTTAATTTTTAAATTTTGAATTTTTAAATTTTGAATTGTTGTTTAATTTAGTAGTTAATCAGTGAGAGATTTGAGGGATTCTGTGAGATTTCCAAATTTGTAATTTTTTTCTTTTAAAAGGATTGCTGTAATCAGAATGAAAAATCATTGAACGAATTGAAAATTGAAATGAAAATTGGGTTGGCTTAATTTGGGTGTGAAACCTAGAGCCCCTATGCTCTCCTCTCCTCCATCGTTCCGATCAGCCACCACCCCATCTCCCCGTCATCACTCTCTCTACAGGCCGCAAGCCCCACTTCAAGCCGTCATCGTCCCGACTTCCCTGCCCCCCTTCAACAACGAGCAGCCTCCACTCGCCAACACCCCTACTCCCCTCCACCTTCCAACAGTCCCGACGACCCCCTGATCTCCGTCACCTCCGAACAGCCTCACCGACGACGTCCTGCCCTTCGCCCGCGCCATCATGTCGTCCACGTTGTCGTTACGCCACCCTCAGCCCACCGTCGAACAGCCACCGCCATCCCAGGCACCTCCTCACGGCGCCCGTCGACATCCAGCGCCACCCCAACCCTGCGGTCCCCTCCTCCCTGCTCTCCCTCAACCGTCGACAGTAGCCATCGTTCTTCGCCCTCGAGCAGCCACCGTCCACCTCTCCTCAGATCGAAGCTGCACCGAACAACCGTCGGCTTCCCTTCCCTGAGATCGAAGAAGAACAGAGATCAGAATATATTGATGGGTTTGTTGATAAGTTGGGTTGTGGGCTTCACTGTAGAAGCTAATGGGCTTTTGGATTTCTCTCAACATTTCTGAATAGTAATTCACTGAGGTTTCGTTTCTCTCAACTCAGTATTTTTCCGTTGATTTCAATTTATTAGTTAATTGCATGAGTATTGCATCTCTAAATTCTTATCATATATTCACTGCTTAAATTAAATTTGTGAGTTGTGAATAACTGAACATGTGACTGTTGAAAATTTGATATTGATTTTAGAACGTGTACAATGATAATGAATACTGCAATTAAATTGATCGGGATTGGAAATATTCATCACTACCAATGTTGAAAATAGCGATAACGCATAGCGTAACGCTTACCTCCGGTTAAGTTACAGTAGCAATAACGCATAGCGTAACGTAGGTTAAATAATTTATTGTTATTTAAATAATTTATAGATATATAACATTCAAAATAAAAAAAATATGAATAATCATCGCAATTCTCAATTTCACAAATCAATATATCATCACAATTTTATAAATCAATATATCATCAAAATGAAAAAAAACATTTCATTCTCACTCTCATTTTACTTATCAATATTTCACAAATCAATATATCACAATTTACAGTATTTAATTTTCATATACTTGAACCAAATTATAACCTAAATATAGTTAATTTTTTACTGTTAATTAACTTAATTTTACAGTAAAATAGTTACAGTAATTAAGATAACAAATTAAAAGTATGCAACTATTCCGTTCCAATTATTTTTTACTGTAGCTGAAGGAAAAAAGGAAATCATATATTCACTGCTTAAATTAAATTTGTGAGTTGTGAATAACTGAACATGTGACTGTTGAAAATTTGATATTGATTTTAGAACGTGTACAATGATAATGAATACTGCAATTAAATAACGCGTTTTTTTCAACATTGATCACTACTTATGCAAATCTTATTAAAATCCATCAGTCACATTAGTTGTTTTTAAATTATTTTCCTACCGAATATCATTTTTTTGGCGAAACGGTGCGTTGTTCGAATTAAATCGCTGATTCGGACAGACCCCTTGTCTTTGTTTTGCATCAGTTTTTTTTCATAATATGATAATTCTTTTGTTTGTATATTATCACTTTACCAATTTAGAATTTCATCGAACTGAAGTATTCCTTCGTGTAGAAGAAAAACTCAATTATCTCATTAATGCTATTACATGTTTCATTTTGTAGGCAAAGGATATGTTAGAGAAGACCTCGAGTGCAGCCATTACATGAAGAACTTTGATGCTGGCTCTCGCATTTCTATATTATCTTTTTCTTGTTATTTGAATGGATATTAGAGACAAATATATAAAATTGGATGCTTTTTATTGTGAGATATTAAGTAATCATTGTGTATGTATATGTTTTATCTTTAATATTATATTATATATTTGAATTGGAATTTCAGCACCTTTTGAGACATTTTTGTGTATGTATATGTTTTTGATTTCATTGTAAGATATTGAATAATCATTGTGTGAGATGTGTATATTAAATATAAACAGGTAGATAAATAAAATAGTTAAAATTTAAAAAATATTAAAATACACAGTCCAAACGATTACAACCGTTTGGCCGAAAATTAGTCCAAACGGTTGTAACCGTTTGGACAGAAATCTGGTCAAACGGTTGCAACGTTTGGACAATATTACTCTGTCCAAACGGTTATAATCGTTTGGGATTTTGCCCAAACGGTTGTAACCGTTTGGGCGACCGTTGGGGTAGACTTTTCCCCAACGACTTTAGCCCAAACGGTTCTTTTTACAGCCCAAACGGTTGTAACCGTTTGGGACTGTGTTTTCCCAAACGGTTCCAACCGTTTGGGCTGTCCTGTTTTGTACTAGTGATACATGTCTTATTTCCAGTCAGATGGTCATGCTAAAAGATACATGCGCCTAAAGTTAAATTTCCTTATTAAAGGGAAAATCCTGGTGGGGAAAGAAAATAAAAAGCTAGGAGCATTTTAATTTTAGCCAAATAATCTTTATATCCTCCTATATTGTCTAAAACGTGCGCTTCAAAAGAGAAGTGCTTCATGGTGTTTGTGGAGCGCACACTTTAGTTATGCTTTAAGTGATGAGGCATAGATTCCAAGGGATAGCTTCAGTTATGAGATTTGAATCTTTTATCATTCAAAAAGTTTCTAAGTGAATTTCAAAATGCCTTTCCAAACACTAGTGCCACATAAACCACATGCATCATGAAAGGTAAATAATAATTAATGGAACATGAAGCACTAAAGGTAGGCATAAGTCAACTTGGTGAAGCTACTAAGTAGGATATTATAGTGATTAGAAGTACATAGTCTAAGAAATGAATAGAAGAATATGATTCATGTAGGTAACCCAAAAATTTGCGATTGATTGTTATTGTTGTTGTTTCTATCAATAATTGTGTCCATATCATATTTGGAATTTACTTTGCAAAGCTCAAAATAAGGAAGATAACTCAGCAATGAATCTAAATCGATGCATAAGCAAACTCACCATCATCTTCCACGCAAGATACCCAACCGGCCCACCTCATCCCTTATCCCCATCCCCACCAATCACATACCCTCCAACTCCCCCTCTCCTCATCACACTCTTCACAAACTCCACACCCACCTCCTTCTTTCCCCTCTCCCAATACAAACTCACCACCTTTTCCACCATACTAAACCCCAGCTCGACCCCAACGCACTCCATCTCATTCAAAAGCCCCACCACTACATCAACCGCGTGCTCGCCCAAAACCAACCTCTCGATCCAACCACAAGCTATCGAAACCATCAGCTCCATCGTCTCCCCATCGCCCCTGCTTTCCTTCTTCAACCAATCGAACACTTCCAATGCACAGTACGAGTCCCTTCCTTCTTGGGAGAAGTAGACCAAAACAAGCTGCAGCTCCCGAGATGAGAGCCGTTCGATCATCTCATTGAGCACCTCGGAAGGGTCTCGAGCCATTCGCTCGAGCTCTTCGATGGCTTCAAAGAATCCGTTGGTCATCTCGGATTCGGACTCGCTCGTGAGGATCCGATCGAATCTGACCGATTTCGGCGAAACCCTAACGAATCTGGTGGTTTTTGAAGCCCTAAGACGAGGGAGGGGGAAGCGGAGACGGAGGTGGAGAGAGGAGCTGAACGGAGAAGATAAAGCCATTGGAGTTCTATTCAGTTCATGGCATTAGGGTTAGGGTTTTGAGTCGAAATCCAGTGAGATTTTGGGAGTGGGAATTTCGTCGAGCGTTTTGTGGGCGATTGGATTTCGTCCGCGGGAGAGGAGAAGACAAAAGCAACGTGTCAGGATCCGGAGATTTCTCACTGGTGCACTTTAATGACGATAATGGCACTGTGGTTTCGATGTAATTACGAAAAAGTTTGGAGCAGGATTTGTTGTGGAGTTAAGGGTATTTTTGTCAGTAAGGAGAGTTGGATTAGACGTTAGGTTTAGATTACTCTTGTATTAATTATTGTTTAAGCAGTGTAGATGAGGAGTTAAGTGTAAATTCGTTGCGTTATTGCACACCGTCAATAATCCTGATTATTAAAAGATTAAAGAAACCCTAGTTATTTATATGGGTTTTCCCCCGCTAAATTGCACTTCAATACTATAAAGTTTCTCAGTTTCGGCGTGTGTGTATCATAAACCGGTTTTTTTACAAATAAATAGAGTAAGTCGCTTTTAAATTAACATGTTAGTACTTTCGATTATACAAACGTGAAAATTTTTACCAAAATATTCTCATATAACATTAACCTGTTAATTTTATAACTTTCTACACCATTAATATTTGTCAAATTTATATTAAACGTATATCATCTCTATTTTAAAATTGAATTAAGTTATGTTTTAAAAAAAAAAAGACTTAATAGCACATTTAACATAAATTTTAATAGTTATAAAGTTTTAAAATTAAGAAACATTCGGGTGAACATTTTCATGTTTGCATGATTAAGGGGACTAGTATGTCAATTTCAAACTGACTTATAATATTTATTTGCCAGAAAACCAACTCATGGTACATAAATGTAAAAATAGGAAACCTTGTGATATTTAAGTGCAGCTAATAAGCCTTTTTTCCCGCTAAGAAACCATCTACAAAAAGTCTAATTGTATAGAAAAAAAAAAGAATAGCCTTAAAATTATCATATTCAAGATACGTAACTTGCATCTTAACTAGACCTAAATATTAACAAAATCAGTCACATGTCTTGAGCGTGAACGGGTAATTTTGGATTTTTAATAAAATTTTTAACTAGGAGGAAGTTGATTGCAACACAACCCCACTTTAAACGTTTATACATAAGTTGAAATTCAGAGATGTTTTTGTGTAACTACCGTGGTTTCTAGAAATCCCTATTTATGTTCCTCTTGTGCATGGATAGGTAGAAAGTGGTAGTTCTAGTGCACTATATGTAGACATATTCTTTTATCGGTAAAATACAAATACGTAAATTAACTGTATATTCATTAGACTTCTCTAACACTGAGACGTTTCGTTGCATGCCGTTTAGACTTCTCTAACACTGAGACGTTTCGTTGCATGCCGTAGTTCAATTTTCTGCTGAAGTGCGGATGACAATCCTAGTAACAGGATCCGAATATATAACATAATTTTCTCAGTTAATCCCAACGGAGCTCTTCTATCACGAAACTAAAATTTTATATATTCAGCCGTGAAATCTGGTATTTTTAGATTTTTTTTTTTTTTTTAAAAGACAAACTTTGATAACTAGAACGGGGTACGTGACCAAAAATATAGCAAGCAGTGCGTATCATACGTCATTCATATATACTGATTAATAGACACCAGCAAATGCTTCACTGCTGCTAGAGGTAGAATATCATACGTCATTCATATATACTGATTAATAGACACCAGCAAATGCTTCACTGCTGCTAGAGGTAGAATTTAGCTCGTAAGCTCCTAAAAGGCACCAGAACGCATGGACAAAAAAAGAAAGTGCTCTGGATTTCGCCCTACAATCTTCTCCCTGTCAAATGTATGTCAAATATGTGCCAATTAGATTTGAGAAAGCTATGGTATCTGTGAAGATAAAACGAGGCATCTACATTCTTTTTTCATTGTTATGATATGATGTATAGGTGAGCACAAAGCCTTTATTACGAATCTTTTGGATCGGCTATATGAATATTACTCTATCATTAATTTCCTTTAGGGTTACCTTCTCTATTAAAATAACCATAACAAGGTCTTTCTTGAGTTGCTTCCATCACCAAAAAACTAACAGGACTCGAATAAAACCAGCTCTGACAATTCTGTCAAAATCTGAAGGAAAACCAATCCACAAAACAAAACAATCATCATCAGAAGATAAATATACGGAACAAGCAATCATCAGAAGGGCATTTACCACATATTCCTATGCATATGTAGCCATGAACAGCTAAAATAAATCCCAATCAGGCTACAAGTATCAAGTTAAGCAGCTTATGTTGGTTGAACAAATATGGCCCAGTGACTATGATGGTGATGAGGGTAGCCCTCTTACAAAGGAGGTCCTTGAGTTTAAATATGGCCCAGTGACTATGATGGTGATGAGGGTAGCCCTCTTACAAAGGAGGTCCTTGAGTTTGAAGAGTTTGTCCGGAATTATTTAACATGCTATACAAGGAAAGGATCTCACATTCCTTAACTCTCTTGAATACCATTAAATGGATTTCCATATATATCCTTATTACCAGTAGGGCTTCTCATAATTATATTGATGCTCAACTAGTCTAAAAATTCAGCCTCTCACTGGCTTATACAAATCCATGTATAGCTCACATTGCAGGAGGAAGAAAGATATAAATTGCGCAAGCAGTTGCACTAATATCAACCTCCTTGGGCAAAGTATTTCCTTCTTGACTGACTTTTTTAGTCATAACAATTAATGATTACCAAGAAGTGTTTGGCGCCATAACGGATGTGCTCAATTGAAATGTGTCAATCTTGACCTCAACAGTGTGCGTCTTAAGTTTACAACGGCAGACTAAAGTGTGTGTCTACTTCTTGCTCAGTTTTCTCATGGGATATTTCTTCTAACAACACAAGTTTGCCCTTCCCTCCCTCTTTAATCAATATTTTCCCAAAGACATCAAACAAGCTCAAGTTCTCTGATAATTACTTCCAAATTATACTTCAATTAATTGGTGATCTTCTTGATGAGTTGCACGGCTTAAGATTCTCTTCTAAACGGGATTCCTAAACAGGTTATCAACTTTCAGGACTCATTTTGGACACTACAAGCACCTAGTCATACGCTATGGGCTTACTACATTTCGATCTCTGATGAGTGATTTATTTCAGTGATATCTCTAGCACAGTAGCACTTCATTCGAACATAATAATCTACAACTCATCATGGAAAAAAACACATTGCACACTAGTATTACACACCTTGACTTGAGTGAGCATCTATTATATGCCAAGTTCTCCGATGTTGCTTTGCTCAACTACAAGTTGTCTATCTGGTGAGCATCTATTATATGCCAAGTTCTCCGATGTTGCTTTGCTCAACTACAAGTTGTCTATCTGGATCGTGTAGGTAAGAATAGCAATGGAGTTCTCCGATGTTGCTTTGCTCAACTACAAGTTGTCTATCTGGATCGTGTAGGTAAGAATAGCAATGGATAATTGAAAATAGAAGTTATCTTTAGGCCTGTGCGAAAGACTGTAAAGGCTCTAAGGGGATCAGTGGAACTCACGAGGATTCAACATCATTGTCGTTCCTCACTACGCTAACCAACACAGACACCTTACATTGGTCAATTGAGGCCCAATGTACTTTTCCATAACTTAAGCAAAGCATTAACTTCTTCCTCTATCCTCAAACTTCCAGACTTCTATAGGCATTTTCGCATTGAATATGATGCTTAACAAGGCAGCATTAAGGCAACATTGGTGCATAAGAGTCATCCTATTGCTTATATCAGCCAGTCCTTAAAAGTTAATGGCAAACTAGACTCTGCATACGACAAAGAAATGTTGATCATTCTTCTCGCGGACAAAAAAGTGATAATACCTATATATGGTCAATCATTATACTATACTCACCAACTACATACCTCTTACGTATATACTGGACCGGCATGATTCTTAAAACATCATCAACATCATTATATCACTAAGCTTCATGGGTTTTCTTATGTGATGAAGTAAAAGAAAGGGCGGACTAACAAGGTTGCCGACACTTTTCTCTCCTACTTAAGGAATCTACTATATTCTCTCTTGTCATAGCCAAGGCAGACTGACGGTTAGCTCTGAGATGCAAACTACTGATTCCTTCTTCATTCAATTTAATGATCAACTATTCCAGCATTATTTCCTTCCGCCAAACACCACCAAGAAACATGATATCTTCCTCTACGAAAACAAGAGTGATGGCAAGCCCGACTTCTGATATTCATTTCTCTGTCATTTATGAGATCCATGACACACCACCGAACTCTCAGGGGGGTCATTATGGACTTCAATGCATCATAAATTCATAATAGACCAGATACAATATTTGGCGCGAGACCAAGCCAATGTCAAAGTGGACTTACCATTTTTATCATAACTTTCCTCATTACTCATAAGGAATCCTCTTGGTTCATGTACTACTTTGGTTATCATCTTTTTAGAGTTTGCAATCCTTGGATAGTTTAAGACTAAGAAATGGCTCATCTATAACTATACTACTCTAGAAAAATCTTAATAAGGGTAGAAGGAATGTTGGAAGTTCACGATTCCGTAGTTGATTTTTTAGGGAAAATTGTGATTGGTTTCGGGAAAATTGGTCAATTTGAGAAAAAATTGAATGGAACGACTCTAATAATAATAAAAACTCTAAAGCCTCCAATAACAACCCTTCAAGAATAGAAATTTTCAACCACAAGTACAAAAAAGACATTAAATACTAGAGATTTTAAAAGTAAGGTGGTTTTTTTTTCAAATCATAAAGTACTTCTATTAATGCTAAATCTTGGAATATAATATTTTAAATATTAGTTGCAATGGTCAAGATTTGTTGAAGAAGATTTATAGGGAGTTGACATGAGAAATTCTTTTGATATTCAAATTAGTGATGTATAGAATGGTGTAGAAAAGAGAGAATAAAGATTTAAAATCATCATAGCAAAAAGTTATGTTCATTGTTCACCACATAAATAAGTAAAAGATACATTTTAATGTTTAAAATATATTAATAAATTAAGAAATTAAGAAATAATATTATGCCCAAGTTGACAAACAGCCACTCCTATAAATTATGAAAAATGTTTTTGCACAGATGTTTTGTAATATAAATTACTTTTAATAAAATATTTTTGTATTAATTTCTTTGAAGCTACACTAATATAGTTTCTATTTCTTATATCGTGCACATTATGCATATGCAATTAAACTAGCTAGATTAAAAATTATATTCAACTTGTCAAAGATGGACCTAGCTAGTGCCATTCTTTTTTGGCAAAACTTTAGTGTAGGTGCCTAATGTTTTAGCCAAAATTTCATACGGCTCCATAGACTTTGAAAGTCATTGACATAAGTATTTTTAAATTTTTTCCGTTAACAATTGCTGATGCAGCAGAAACTTTTTATCTTTTTATTTTCTTTGTTGATTGGACTGCCTTTTCTCTCTCTCGCTCTCCTCTTTGCCACATGGTCTCTCCCATTTACATAGACCGGAATTTAAATGGTAACTCTCTTTGCAGCCCCTATTCTCAAACAGAAGAACACCCAAAAAAATTGCTCCTTTCTCCAAAATCCTAAATCAACAAAAAGGCACCCTTAACCTTAAAAATTCACACCAAGCTAAAATCACACAGAACACCCAAAAGAACATTCTCTCATTGCTTCCCCACCCCCACCCCCACCCCCACCCTCTTTTTCTTTGATGTCATAATGGCAGTCCTTCTCCCACGATGATAAGTGGACATGTTATCTAAACTAAAGCTTGCACTCATTTCAATTTGGAGACAGGGGATTTAGGATTCGAGAAAGGGGATTTAGGGTCTGAGAGGGGGGTTTCTTTAAATGATAAAGGGGATTTAGTGTTTAAAAAGGGGTTTCTTTAGATGATAGAGATAATGGGGATTAGGGATTCATTCTGGTCTATTTAAAAAACAATGAGAGAGAGCTGTCCACTAAGTGTCCAATCAGTAAAGAAAAAGGAAAATGACAAAAAAAAATCATGCCACATAAGCAATTATCAACGGAAAACTTTAAAAAGTACTTAAATTGATGATGAGATTAATGTTAAAGATCTCTTTTGATGACAAGTTTAAGAACATAAATGAAATTTCGCTAAAACACTAGGGGACTAAACTTAAGTTTTGCCTTTTTCTTTAACGGGAAAATGCGATCAGAGGACTATGATAGGATCTATGTGGACAATCCTAAAGCTTTGGGACATATCTACATTAATGTTTCCAAAATTCAAATCCCCTTTCCTCATTTCTTTCATCTAGTCATCCTCCCCATCTACCTTATCATTTCTCAATCTATGCTCTTCCTACCATCACATTGAACTCGATAATGTTAAGAGAAACATAAGATGAGAAATACGTACATGCTCAACTTAAATGCTAATACCTTTGTGCCAATTCCTTTTTTAAGAAACACTATGATCAATCTAGCAAAAAACCAATTCACATCACATATTGCAATCAAAGTGCAAACCAATTTCTTTCGGTGATATCAAAAGCCAGTAGCAAAAGATATTAGCATTCCTTACTAAGGCAAATCATACACAGAGGCAAACCATTGAAGCTTAACCAATCAATCCCAGGAAGCATCCAAGGAGCAAGAAAAACATTAACGGATTCTGATCTCACCTAACCGAGAACTGCTCTTCTTCCTCCGCTTCATCTTCATCCTCTCCATCTCGAGCTGCACCTCCATAAACATCTTCATCCTCTTCAACTCCAACTCCTTCACAAACTCCATCCTGTGCCTCTCCAGCTCCATCATCTGCTGCTGCTTCGCACTCTCCACCCTCTCGTAAACCCCCGCAAAATTCACAATCGCCCTCGCAAGCTGTCCCATTTCTCCTCCTCCTCCTCCTCCTCCCCTCTCCCTCTCGCATCCAACCAAACCCTCCCATTTCCTCTTCTCACCCCCTCGATCCTCCCCCTCATCACCATCCAACTCTTTGTCATTCTCGCCTAACAGAGCTCTCACTAGACGACTCCTGTGGCCCAAACCTCCAAGATCCACCCGAAAATCCACCCACATTAGAGCTAGAACTAGGGTTAGGTTTTCGGGGCTTAACCGTAAACATCAGCCTCGGACGCCGAGGCGGAGAGATCACCGGCGATCTCTTGCCCGCGGACGACGAGCTGGGGCCCATGAAAGCATCGAACTTATCAAAGAGAGGCCACTGAGAGGTCCCCGGGGGCTTCGACTTCTCAAGCTTGTACTTCTTCTTCACCGTGTCGATCCTGTTCCTGCACTGGACGTCGGTCCTCCTCGGTCGGCCGAGGAGATCCTAGCGGTCGTTGACGGCGTCGGCGACCTCCGACCAGTCGCTCTGGCGGAGGTTCCCGCGGTTGAGATGGAGGTAGCGCTGGCCTTTTTGTTTTGATAATGTTTTAACAAATAATTTATAACTAATATTGTTTGTCTAGTGTTGGTGTGTTTTTATTTATCGTAGACAAACAATGAGTTGGAGGTTGGATGAAATTGCGGCATAACGATCACATCAAATGAAGGTTGGCGGAATATCAGTATGAAGCCAATGCAAATAAAGTCAAGATCTAAGTTCAAGCTTCATCAGCAATGTTCACCTAGAAGAGCTTCATTGAAGATCACAAGTTTGGGTAAATAGTTTAGGTGTTATATTATGTGTGTTTAATACTCTAAGCTCAATATCATATACATACACATATTATTGGTTTCCATGTATATATATAGTTATATATATATACACATTTTAGTTTTTGATTTTCATGTTTATATAAATATGAAGTTACATATTTCATATTTATTGTTTTGTTTTGGTTTAGCTTTGTAGATATGAAACAATAATTATATTCATATACACTTTCACATGTTTCATATTCTATTGCTTTTGGAAAAACTAATGTGTTTTGTAATATATATACATGTTTCAAAATATTGTTTAAGTCAAAATGACAAAAATAAGTGTTTCATATTTTCATGTTTTGGACATATTTGAAAAATGATGAGGTTTTACAAATGGGAAGTCAATTTGAAAGTCAATTTGAAAAATATGTTTTGGACAAATGACAAAAATATGTTTTACAAATGATGACAAAAATATATTTTGGACATATTTGAAAAATAAGTGTTTATTATCATGTTTATAATCATTTCCTAAAGTTTTACATTTTTCTGAATTTATTTACTATTTTTTAAGGCACTTTGAAAGTCAATTTCTGGACATGCATAGTCCATGTGCATGTTCATAAGTCGACTTATCAGATGGGATAAGTCGACTTATGGCAAGTCGAATACAAGGCGACTTATGCCCAGTTTTTTGTGTATTATTTTTCTCTAGCAAGTCGACTTATGCCATTGTTAAGTTGACTTATAAATATGACCGTTGCACAGTAATGACTATTTCCAGATTCTGTTTTTGGTTGGGTTTTTGGTCACTTTCTTTTGCTTTGGGCTGGTATGTTGTGAGGTTATAAATACCCCATTGTATTTATCTCTCCCACCAACTAAGAGAAAAGTTTTAAAGAGTTTTACAAGTTTGTTTAAGGGTTTTAAAAGTGTGTTTAAGAGTTTGGTTTGTGAAGAAATTTTCACAATGGCTTGAGGAGATAATCTTTGGTGTTTGGGCATTCAACTCATCTCCCTCTCTCTCTTGTCATTATAGAGAAGTTTCCTTAAACTCCATTCTAGCTATTTAGTGTTTTTAATCTTAATTTCCATAAGGTAGGTTTTATATTGAGTTTATAATTGTTTTACTCTTTGCTTACACACACAACCATTGAGCTTATTGTATTTTCATACATTGTATAATTTGGGTTGTGGGTTTGTGTGACTTAGAGTGTGAGCCTTCATTGTGTTCTCATCCATAGTAGAGAACAAACATTTGTTGTATTGAGCCTAATTGTGAGGATACACTTTGTAATACACTTGTACACCGAGATGAGTGTGTGGTGAGAGACGGGGTTGTCCCAAGAGGAGTGGCGTCGGTAGTAAAGCCTAGAGTTAGGTCGTAATTCCGAGCACTTGAGGGAGAGACGCCAAGAGGAGTGGCGTCGGTAGTAAAGCCTAGAGTTAGGTCGTAATTCCGAGCACTTGAGGGAGAGACGGGCTAGAGACCAACACTTAGAGGGTGTAGAGTGGATTGCATGAGTGTGATTGTGAACGTTGATCAGTGAGCTTTGAAAACCGATATTGTGAGGTGTAGAAGTTTTCGGGTGAACGTTGAAAACCCGATGTGATAGTGGATTTCTCCCCGGGAGTGGGGAGCGGAGATGTAGGACGGAAGGTCCGAACTCCGTGATCATTTGATTGTGTTTGAGTTTGCATTGGCGTTCATTATTTTTTGTGCTCATTGCTCATATAGCCATTGTCACATTATTTAGTTTGTCCACTATATTGTTTACATTTGTTTGTTTCACCCTTGTGTTATTTATATATCCTTGCTTATATATCTTGTCACATATTATACTTGCTACGATATTTATTAATTAGTTTTTATTGGCATAAAATCGGATTACATTAGCATAATACCCTATTCACCCGCCCTCTAGGGTCTAACAGGTAGTGGTCGCCCCACGCGTCGACGAGGCAGGTGGTGCCGCCCTCGCTCCAGCAGTCCTCTCGGCCGCCGCCGGCGGGGGGCATGATCTAGGGTTAGGGTTAGGGTTTAGGGGTGAAATAGAGAATTGGGGATTTTGGGAGAGAGGGGGAGTCGTCGTCAGTCGAAAGCATCTGTAGGCACCGGACGGTAACGTGACCCGTGAAAAGAGAGGGTAGGTTTGAGTTTTAGGGACGGGGTTTGGAGTCATACCGGTGGTGAGCGGAACCAAAGTCTCCGGAAACAAGTAAGAAAAGGGTTCTTTTTTCCATATTAGTGCCTTGTGTAATTTATATTTTGAAATTATGCATTAAATCATTAAAATTGCTGTCATATTCTCATAAGCTGTTTAAATTAGCACTTTTAGTTATTATCTCTACTATTGATTGTAACTAACTTCAAAGTAACTTTAGAAATAGCGGAAGTAATAGCAAGTTCATGACTTGAGGGACTAATTTTGAAATAGCTTAAGAAATTGGAATCTAAAAGTATTTTTAATGATTTGTGGAAGGACAAATTTTTGAAAACTCCCATTTTTAAAATCTATTCAGCAAAATTGACATTTTCTAACAAAAATCAGCAAAACCGACCCTTTTCATTGAAATGGGTCGGTTTTGCTGGTGAAGTGTTTTTCGAATTGCACGGGATTAGCCGTCCCGTGCATTTTGTTTTCTTTTCAAAACTATCTGTTTAAAAGTCGGGACTATCAGTCCCGACTTTTAAGCAGAGACATTTTTGAACTGAAAACAAAGTGCACGGGACTAGCATCCCGTGCTTTTCGTAGACAGAAAACGAAATGCACGGGACTAGTAGTCCCGTGCATATCCTGTGCATGTTTTCTGCTGCATTTCCTGTCAATTCCCTGTATAAACTTAAATGCAATTTATATAACACCATAAACTCATTTACAAATCTAAAATCATAAATCACACCACAAACTCATTTACAAATCCAACAAATCACACCACAGTCTTGGCTACAAATCCAAAACCATCTCACATCCCGAAATAGGTTTGTAATGTACATACCAAAATATGTTAGTAATGTATATAACAATAATGATTAGTTTACATGAAATAGGTTTGTAATGTACATACCAAAATATGTTAGTAATGTATATAACAATAATGATTAGTTTACATACATCCAAGAACTCTCATCCTCCTCCTTTGTCTTCGTCCTCCTCCACCCCGATCTTCGACGAGTTCGTGATCCGGTTGCGTTTGTCGTTGTGACGGTCCAGCTCCATCGTCAACACGTTGGGAAGGTTCAGCTTCATTGTCGTTTCTGCATCGTCCTTGATTTTGTCATGGTTGACGTGTGTATACGAATTGCGTTACCTCTCGTCCATCATGAAGATCTTCGTGAGTTCGGTGTAAGGCTTGGTGAAGCCTCCGCATTATTGACTGATATATTGATACATGATCCTGTGCTTCGGGATATGTACCTGCGAGAGATAATTACAAAAATTCGAAATAGAAAAATTACTTTAAAATTTAAATTACAGAATGTAAATTTGATATTTACTTCTATATTACCTACTCAAGCCAATTCCATGCCACGATTTGCAATGGTTTGAACATCATTTATTGCTGATACCTGTAAATTTTTCAAAAAACACATGTTAGCAATATTGAGATATCAATAAAAATGGACTTAAATCAAAATCTGAAATACTTACTAATTCTCTCTCATCTATACCCCGGGGCACATATCCTTTTTGCAACTCAACTGGTGTTGTGATCGTATGGAGTATCCATCTTCGGGTTATCCCCCAATACAAAGTGTAGTAATCTGATTCCCGGGGAGTTGGGTCAATTTTCTCAATAATACAAAAATATCTATCATGCCATCTGTGTATATAATTTTGATGCTCAGCTGCCCAGTCCTTTTGTTGTCCTCCTTTCTTTGCCTTCCTCTCCCCATTTTTTCAACAAATTCCGGAACATATTGTGCAAGACCAAATTGTCGAAGCACGCGGTCCGGTACATGCATTTCTACTATCTCGAAACATATTAGAGGAACTATGGCTCTCCATGTAACTGGGTATTCTGTGCATACCGGGAGATAGATGATTGAGAAATTGGGTGTAGAGCTCCCACTCCATCTACAAAGTATTTCATATAATTGTTGCATATCATTAAAATTAAAGTTGATATATAGAAGAAAAAGCTCATTTTTATAGAAATGATACCTGAAAAATTTTCATATGGTCAAGCTCATTTCGGTAGAAATCTAATTGTCTAGTCGGGGTCTCATCATAACATTTTTGGATATTCCATCTGTGTTGTTTTCAAAATTTAGTATCACAATGATAATCACAATTATATTTGCTACATTAAAAAATATAATACCTGCATCCCAGTGGAATTTATCCATCTAATTGTAAATTCACGCATAGTCTCGGTTTCAAATGAAGTCTCTCCTATGCCCATACTTGTAGTAAGCTTAGACACCCTTTAAAGTCATTGTTTTTCATGAAAGCCACTTTGGACATCTCTCTATATAGGTACGTCAAAACGGCACTACCCCACGATAACGCACCACATGTGTCCAAGTCCTCGAGGAGTGGTAACCACCAAGAGAATGCCCACTTAAATGTTGTAGTTGAAACCACGACTATTGACTTGGAGATGTCATAAAACCACTCGACTCATTGTCTAAGTCAAGCATCCGAGAAAACTCTCCTTGAGGTCGTGAAACTTGGGAAAATTCGTGAATCGAATACTTCTCAATGAACAACTGAATTGACACTTTCTTCTCAACTAATTGTTTCATGTCATTCAATTCCTCATCGTCGGTAATCTCCACGGCAATAGTTCTACTCTCATTTATCGGACAGTTGAAGAACACCTTAATTGCATGCTCTACTTTATTAATTTTAGTAACTCTGTATATTTCCTTCATCATTCCATCAAAATTACATGACTTAGATAGCATACAATTTTCATAGAACCTTCCTCATACATAGGCATACTATTCACTCCGACGCCGAGCTCCCATTGAAGAAGCAAATAATAGGTATATAGTTTGCCATCAAAACTGAAAATCAATAGTCCATCACATGTAAATAATCTATTATAATTGAAAATATTAATCTTAATTTAAAATCAAACTTAAACCCCTAATCTCAACTGAAAAGCAAATAATGGCTAAGCCCTAACTCCCATATTACATTATTCATCATATTTCACAAAATAAAAAGTAAAAAATTTCATATCCAAAATCATAAACCCTAATCAATCTATATCATTCATCAAAACCCTAATCCTACCCAATTCATATCCCTCATAAAAATTAACAACAAAATTAAAAAAAGTTAACCTTGATCGGAGCTTGATCGGCGGGGAGGCAAGCTCTGTTGTGGGGTCGGCGGGGAGGCGAGGTCGGGAGAGGGGAGGGTCGTTGTTTGAGGGCAAGTCGCGATTTCAGGGGGGTCAGTCACGGGTGCTGCAAGTGAGGGGGGGTCACGGGTGCGGGTGCTTATGTGGTTATCATGAAAAAAAAACCTAAACATAACGACCAAAAGGGTTTTTAGGTATTAGTCCTTCACCTCTTCAATAATTCTATAGTAGCCCCTCAAATCTTTGAATTGCTTATTACTCCCTCAAATACCATTAGGTCTTGCAACTTAGTCATGTTTTAGTTTTTTCAATTAAAATTTCAAACCTTTGGTTGTTTAGCTCCTAATCCAACACCCTTTATTAACAAATTACTCCTCATTTAGATGATTATATAGATTTTTAGAGGGGATATGACCATTAGGAATCTCAAAAATAGGTCAGAGTAACTTTCTAACTGTTAGAGGAGATGATTCAATGAATTTGGGTTTTTTTTGTTTTAAACTAGTTAAGAGACAAATCAAGGAACTTAATAAAGGGGTAAAATGATAACTTCTTCTAAAACAGTTAGATTTAGGGACATCCCCTCAAAATCTAACACGAGTTTACTAGAGGAACTAATTTGCAAAAACCCTATGAGGGACTAATAAGAAATTCAAAGATTTAAGGGATAAAATAAAACTACTGAACATTTGAGGGACTAAGATCTAAAATGCAGATACTTTTTTATAATCTAGGTCGGAGTTGAATAGAAGGTTGTTGGAGTCATATTAGAACATCCTAACAATCCGGGCCACAACAGCGAGTTAAAAGGTACATACTAGAAAGGCTAACAATTTTTACTCATACTCTACTTATACGATAGCTTAATCTATTATAATTGAAAATATTAATCTTAATTTAAAATCAAACTTAAACCCCTAATCTCAACTGAAAAGCAAATAATGGCTAAGCCCTAACTCCCATATTACATTATTCATCATATTTCACAAAATAAAAAGTAAAAAATTTCATATCCAAAATCATAAACCCTAATCAATCTATATCATTCATCAAAACCCTAATCCTACCCAATTCATATCCCTCATAAAAATTAACAACAAAATTAAAAAAAGTTAACCTTGATCGGAGCTTGATCGGCGGGGAGGCAAGCTCTGTTGTGGGGTCGGCGGGGAGGCGAGGTCGGGAGAGGGGAGGGTCGTTGTTTGAGGGCAAGTCGCGATTTCAGGGGGGTCAGTCACGGGTGCTGCAAGTGAGGGGGGGTCACGGGTGCGGGTGCTTATGTGGTTATCATGAAAAAAAAACCTAAACATAACGACCAAAAGGGTTTTTAGGTATTAGTCCTTCACCTCTTCAATAATTCTATAGTAGCCCCTCAAATCTTTGAATTGCTTATTACTCCCTCAAATACCATTAGGTCTTGCAACTTAGTCATGTTTTAGTTTTTTCAATTAAAATTTCAAACCTTTGGTTGTTTAGCTCCTAATCCAACACCCTTTATTAACAAATTACTCCTGGATGTAGCCGGAGAGGTTCTTGGAGGGTAAGCCGGAGATGTTGTGGGAGAGGGTTTGGGGTTGGGGAAGCCGGAGATTTTGTTTCGTTTTTTTCTTGGGGGGCAGGCTTCTCTTTTGTTGTGTTTTTTTAATGGGTAAAAATATTAAAATAGAAGAGGCGTTTTTTTGATATTGTTGGAGCTCCTAACTAGGAGCTTGTTGGAGCTCCATAAAAGAAGGAGTGCCTCTCAAGGCTTAATTTGTTAATTTTTTATTCTAAAATGCTTGAGAGCTTTTGAGAGCATGCTGACTAGGACTCCCAACTGGGAGCTTGCTGCACTTGCTCTTATGTGGTTATCATGAAAAAAAAACTAAACATAACGACCAAAAGGGTTTTTAGGTATTAGTCCCTCACATCTTCAATAATTCCATAGTAGCACCTCAAATCTTTGAATTGCTTATTACTCCCTCAAATACCATTAGGTCTTGCAACTTAGTCATGTTTTAGTTTTTTCAATTAAAATTTCAAACCTTTGGTTGTTTAGCTCCTAATCCAACACCCTTTATTAACAAATTACTCTTCGTTTAGATGATTATATAGATTTTCAGAGGGGATATGACCATTAGGAATCTCAGAAATAGGCCAGAGTAACTTTCTAACTGTTAGAGGAGATGATTCAATGAATTTGGGCTTTTTTCGTTTTAAACTAGTTTAGAGAAAAGTCAAGAACTTAATAAAAGGGTAAAATGATAACTTCTCCTTAAACAGTTAGATTTAGGGACATCCCCTCAAAATCTAACACAAGTTTACTAGAGGAACTAATTTGCAAAAACCCTATAAGGGACTAATAAGAAATTCAAAGATTTAAGGGATAAAATAAAACTACTGAACATTTGAGGGACTAAGATCTAAAATGCAGATACTTTTTTATAATCTAGGTCGGAGTTGAATAGAAGGTTGTTGGAGTCATATTAGAACATCCTAACAATCCGGGCCACGACAGCGAGTTAAAAAGTACATACTAGAAAGGCTAGCGAGTTAAAAAGTACATACTAGAAAGGCTAACAATTTTTACTCATACTCTACTTATACGATAGCTATTGCATATGTGAAATGAAAAAAATTCCAAGATCATCCCTAAAAACGATTTCTATTTAGTATGAATAGTTAATTAGATCTTATCATTTTCTCAATAACTAGAATTGCTAACAACTCGTGGACATCTAGGTACTGATTACTAATAATATTTTTTCTTTTCCAAAATTTTCCCAGAGTTGAAGTACAAAGACTGCTGTCATGCCCGCTCCAAGAACCATACCGATAAATAGTACAAGCTCAATGATATATGTAATACTCGATGATGAATAATTAGAGATTGCAAGTGGCACTATGCTTGGTGTGTTTGGGAAAATATTCCCACATTGTTTTGATAACAGAATCCCACATAATTCTCCATTCTCCAAGTAAGATGCAGTTGAGAAGGTAATAAATTATTTTCCTTGAGGAATTCTTCTCATCAACTTGTTTGAAAGGTTTAGAAAATACAAGAATGTCCAAAAAGTAAGTTCTTGAGGAATCTATCTTGATAGATAGTTCGTAGATGGTCTCATTGTTCAAGTTGTCTCGTGTTTCTAATTGTTGGAGGAGTCTCTTCTATGATAGCATTATTCAAAAAGTTCAACATGTAAAGGCTTTGGAGTTCACCTATCACCTCAGGAATACCACCTTCAAAATTGTTGCTTGAGAAATCAGTAGACGGGGCTTTGGAGTTCACCTATCACCTCAGGAATACCACCTTCAAAATTGTTGCTTGAGAAATCAGTAGACGGATAAGATATCGATAAATTCATTGCGTATATTTATGACTAAAACCTCATAATCATACGTGGAAGATCCATAATCTCTTGGATTTCAAGCTATTGAAAAATTTTGAAGGTAAATTTCCATCCAAGT